CCCACTACCCCACTTCCCTCCATCAACCCCCCCCCCCCTTAGTTCTGGTTCTTTGGTATCCATAGGGGTCATCTATCTAAGTTCTTTTGCTTCTCCATTTCCTATACTGTTTTTTAACATCCCTTTGTATATTTTTACTTACCGATTATGCTTTTTAATTTCTGCACCTTTCCCCCCATTCTCCTTACTACCCCAGCTGATAACGCTCCAAATGACCTCTATACCTAGGATTCTGTTCCTGTTCTGGTTGTTTGCTTAGTTTCTTTGTTGTTTTAGATTCAGGTGTTGATAGTTGTGAATTTGTTGACTGCGTGATGTTCATAGTTTTGATTTTTTCTTAAGTCCTTTAACATTTCATGTAATAATGGCTTCATGATGTTGAATTCCTTTAGCTTTACCTTGTCTGGGAAGCACTTCATCTCTCTTTCCATTCTAAACGATAGCTTTGCTGGATAGAGTAATCTTGGTTGTATGTAGGTTGTTGCTTTTCATCACTTTGAATACTTCTTGCCTGCAAAGTTCCTTTTGAGAAATCAGCTGATAGTCTTTTGGGAATTCCTTTGTAGGTAATTCACTGCTTTTCTCTTGCTGCTTTTCAGATTCTCTCTTTATCTTCAACCTTTGGCATTTTAATTATGATATGTCTTTGTGTGGCTCTCTTTGGATCCAACTTGTATGGGACTCTGTGCTTTCTGGACTTGTATGTCTATTTCCTTCACCAAATTAGGGAAGTTTTCTTTCATTATTTTTTCAAGTACGTTTTCAATTTCTTGCTCTCCCTCTTTCCTTCTGACATCCCTATGATTTGGACGTTGGCATATTTGGAGATGTCCCAGAGACATTCCCTCCTCATTATTTTGAATTTGTTTCTTCTTTCTGTTCTGGATGAATGTTTATTTCTTCCTCACGCTACAAATTGTTGATTTGAACCCCAGTTTGTTTACCTTCACTGTTGGTTCCTTGTAGATTTTTCTGTATTTAACTTAGTATAACCTTCCTTTATGTTGCCATACTGAATGATGCTGTACTGAATTGAGTTGCTGTACTGAATGAGTTCTTTGAGCATCCTGATCACCAGTGTTTTGAACTCTCCATCTGATAGGTTGGCTATCTCCATTTCGTTTACTTCTTTTTCTGGGGTTTTGTTCCATTCTTTCATTTGTCTCCTCAGTTTGGCAGCCTTCCTCTGTTTGTTTCTGTGTATTAGGTAGAGCTGCTTTGACTCCTTGTAAAAGGCACCTGTAAATTGTGTGGGGCAGAGCCTTGGGTAATCGCCAGGGTGGGGCAACTGGCTTCACCCTTTTTTGGCTCTCTGTGTTGGGGAGGGCTCAGAGAGGGGCCTGTGTCTCTACTAGGCTTCTGTGGATTTGCCTGGCACTCTGTTTCCAGTAACTTCACTCACTCACTCTCTGTATGTGACTGGTGCCCTTCCAGCTGTTGCCCTGGTGTTGAATCTAAGAGTTGATGGGTTTGCATATGTTTTAAGACTGTGCGAGCCCTCTAAGTGAAGTTTCTTGAAAATCCGGCAGTTTCTTCCATTGCCCCAACCCCCCGCTTGTTTTTACAGCCAGAAGTTACGGGGATTTATCTTCCCGGCGCTGGAACCCTGGACTGTGCAGTCTGACCTGGGGCTGGGATCACTCGCTCCCAAGGTATCCCTCCTGATTTTTATCCACCACACGTGAATGTGGACCACCTGTGCCTGTTCTGCCGTTGCCACCTCTCTGCGCCACACTGTGTCTCCTCGCCTCTCTGCCCCATATCCTCGTCTCCACCTCTCCTACTCGTCTGGATGATTGTGGCTCCTTTAAATCCTTGGTTGTTGGATTTCCATATAGTTCGATTTTCTGACAGTTCTGAGTGTTACTTGTTTTGAGATTTAGTTGTAATTCTTTTTGTGGTTGTACAAGGAGGCAAAGCTTGTCTACCTATGCCTCCATCTTGACCAAAAGTTGTTTCCAATTTCCTCATTAGAATGTTTCTAAAACTCCTTAGGTCAGACTTCAGCTTTTTCTAGAATTTGTCAGTCTTTAAATTACGGTGCTGTCTTTTATGATGAATTTGACAACACAAGCATAGTGTAAGTTGGATGTAGGTGATACCAGGAACATTGTGTACTGACTATCTTTGAAATTAGTCTAGTTGGGAGCTTTTAAAACTATACATGTACTTGGTGAAAAGTCTGAAAGGAAATACGTCAAAAAATTGCATAGTACCTATTAGTACTTGAAAGAAAGCTACATTGTAGAAAGAAGGTAAGAGTGAAGGGCAGGTGAATGGCTTACCTTAGATGCATGTAGCTTGGTGCAGGGTGTGCTGAGAGGCCTGTGCAGGGTCCTAGAGTCAAGATTTCAGGACTCGTTTCCAACAGGGACTAACTTCAACTTGTGTTTTTTCACTATTAATTCTTTCTCTTTTTGTGTGAGGAAATATCTTTCTTCAAAGAGATGTTATAATTTTTATGATATTTTTGGAGAAATTATGGAAACCATTTACAGATATGATGAGTGAGTGAATACAGAGGATCAGATTGAACTATTTATTTAGTCTTAACTATTGCAGTTGAACCCCCTCCCTTTTTTTGGAAGAGAGAAAGGGAGGGGAGCATTTCCTCAATCCACTGAGGTTTTGCTTCCTAGCAGTTGTCATCAGTTTGGCTTAAACAAACTCATTAAAAAAATATTTAAAATTTTTTTAAAAAAGAGAAAGAAACATCGATTTGTTGTACCACTTATTTGTGCATTCATTGGTTGAATTCTTCTATGTGCTCTGACCAGGGATCAAACCTACAACCTTGGTATATGAGGACGATGCTCTAACCAACTGAGCTACCCACCCAGGGCTGTTACAGGTGACCTTTGAACAGCACAAGGGTTAGGGTTGCCAACCACCCTCCACATATGCAGATTCCCAACTGTGGTTCAAAAATTCACTTGGCTGTTGAATGACCTGAGTTTGAACTTCACGAGTCCACTTGTATTCGTTGTTCAAGGGTGAAAAGATACATGTAATCCAAACCCACAAAAGATTGGGGCATTTATCTGTCTACATTCTTCCTTTCTTTAATGTATTTGCCCTGAGATCCACAATAATAGATGAAGTCTCAAACTGATGTGTCTAGGTTTCTCATTCAGGGATCATGTTTTCAGGTTTGAAATATCTCCCTTTTATACCTACATCTTAGGTGATATTTTAACAGGAGCCATGCTCCATAAATCCATAGATTCTATATTTGTTTGTCATAACCAATCTAAAATTAGGGACATCCTGTTGAAAGCATTCTAAAAAGGACTCTCTTCTGGGGTAATACCATCAGATTTCTTAGGAGGTGGTTTGTTATTGGGTTACTGACCTGATTCCCAGGAAATTAGAACTGGTCACCTGCCTTTTTTCCTCAGGAATATACCCCTCCTTCTCTTCTCTTCTTTTCACACACAAACCTCATTGAAGGTCAGATGCTCGACTCATTTCTTCCCATTGAGGGAACTGAAAACATTCACAGTTCCACTTCTAGAGGGTGCTTACAGTAAATAATTTGGTGTATTTTATTTTGAAACCATTTTCTCTGGTTGCGTGTTTGCATGTATGCTTTAAAATAGTGGGCCCAAACTTATACAGGATCTCTTAAATACAAAAGTCAGCATTTTTTAATATCAATACTTTTCTTTAAATCACTTACTTGTTGTATAGGTGATTATTCTTTTAAGTGCTGTTTGAGCATGTCCTCTGTATCTGCTCTTCAGGAGTTACAGCACCAGATTTCATGTGAGCAGGACTAATGTTCAGCTTCGCTGGAGACCAATTAGGAAACCATACAGTGGAGCCAGTACTTATGTAAAGGAGGCTTATGGAAATACAGCCCCCCCCAAAAAAACCAACAAATTATTTTCTGGAGGGTGGGCCCCTTGTAGTATAGGCTTCTCCTGCTAGGTGAGTGTTCTAGGACCCATCCGTATCAGTTACCACCAGCTGGCATTGTTGTGAGAGTCTGAGCTCTCGATGTGTTGCCCATTTCATGATGGGCAGTTTAAAAAGCGCACCTGTCTACGCTGTGCTGAGTCTTCGGCAGTTTTTGACTAAAAATAGCATCTTCCTGTGCCCCACCCTCCCTATTCACCCAATCTTGCCCTGAGTGATTTTTTTTTGTTTCCCCGGATGAAAAGAGTCCTTAAAGGGAAATGTTTTGCGGATGTGAAAGAGGTAAAACAAAATGGCAGAAGCACTAAAAGGCATCAAAATCAATGAGTTCAAAAACTGTTTCAAGCAGTAGGAAGAAAGTCTCAATAGGAATATTGCATCAAATGGAGAGTACTTTGAAGGTGACTGATGTTTAAACATATAAGAATAAATACAATTTTTTATAAATTCTGGTTTTTTGGGGGTCCCCCCCCCGTGATAATTTGGTGATCCATGTGAAAGGGTTCATGGCAGACCTGCCTTCATTGAATTTTGTTCTGTACTTTATATATAAAGAATGACCTCATTGTTTAACATGTATATTTGTATTCTGCCCATATTTTTTTTAAAAAAAGATATTTAGAGAGAGGAGAAGGGAGGGAGAAAGAGGAAGAGAAACATCGATCAGTTGCCTCTCGCGTGCCCCATCTGGGGACCTGGCATGCAACCCATGCATGTGCCTTCACTGGGAATTGAACTGGTGACCTTTCGGTTTGCAGGCCGACGCCCAGCCCACTGATCCACACCAATCAGAACTTGTGCCTATACTTTCTTACTCATGGCAGAATTGCCTGGGTATCGTCTACACTGAAGTAGAATCAATTTTAGACATTGTTTTGAGTTTACATGGATAGTATCTAGCTAAGTTGCATTTGAAACATGATGGATTTTATTGAGAGTAGCTTAAGCGTCCTGTAGTTCTTGGATTGTAGACTAAATTGCTAGTGAGACACAGGATATATCTTGTGCAGTACACGATAGAGAATCATTTAGAATAAAACAGTATTTGACTTTGTGGTATAAGCTGTGACTGTTGTCAACAGGGGCCTGGAAGAATTCTGTGGAAGAGTGGACAACAGAAGATTGGACTGAAGATGTAAGTGTTTACCAGATCAGACCCCTGTGTCTTCTGGTTTCTGGTAGGGGTGTGTGTATTTTGATGAGAGTCTGATATATCTATGGCTGGCTGTTAATGGCTACTTTTCAGCCATCTGTGATTACCATGTTTGTTTGTTTGTTTTTTTGGTTTTTGGCAGATGGAAGGAAGTTGGTTTTTGGAGATTTTTAAGAAACTTGGTTTTAAAGTCTCTCCTTAAAAATTAACCAGGTGTTAAATAGAACCAAAATCATTTTTTAGTCTCTCTTTGTTTTGTTTGACCTGATAACCAACTGATGCTCTTGCCCTGGCCTGTGAACTATTAATTATTCTTTAATAATACTGTCATTAATGGGGAGAGTCTATGTTTGGGTGACAGTTGAAATTAATCTGAATAAGTCATTCTGGTTTTAGGGCTAATTCTTCCCCTTTCAACTAGACTGGCTCTGTTTCGGGTATTCATTTATTCCACAGCCATTTTTGAGTATACTGCATTAGCTTTTGGGTACTGTTGATCTCTAAGTTCTGGGTTCTGTGTAAGATACTCTTTGATAAAAAATACTTAACTCAAAAAAGACAAGGTAACTGAACTGACCAAGCCCTGTATCATATTTTATACCATTTTTGTTTGACTCCCAAGGGCCAGAACAGATATGTGTACATGATAGAGAATTACAGCACACATCACACATTGGGAGGGAGAACATAAAGGGGTTGTAAGTCCTCAACTTCAAAGTCACATAAATTGATTCAGACTTAGAGATTTTGGGTTATTTTTTCATTTTGTTGTTTTTTGTTTGTTTGTTTTAGATGATTTTTCCCTTGTCCCATTTTGTATGCAAAAGTATTTAAACGGTGATTTTATTCAACATGAAACCTCTTACGCTTTCTTTCCTTTTTTTGTTTTTTAGCAGTATTAATCGTATTTGGCTTCTTAGGGAGTGAGCTTGGTAGGCATGAGGAAGGAGGAGGCTAGATATGTTCATTTAATTGGAATTTAGAAGCCTTAGGATATACTTTCTTTTTTTTTCTTTTAAAGATTTTATTTATTTTTAGAGAGAGGGGAAAAGATAGGAAGATAAGCATTGATTGGTTGCCTCTTGCACACCCCCAACCAGGGAGCTGGCCTGCAGTACAGGCATGTGCCTTGACTGGGGAATGAACCAGAAACCTTTCTGTTTGCAGGACAGTGCCTAACCCACTGAGTCACACCAGGCAGGGCTTGTGCCCATACTTTCATTTCTTCCACATCTAACCATAAGTCCTTAGGATATAATGTCACCAGGTTCTCTGTCATCTGTAAGAGTGCTTATTTGATTCAGTGGAGGGAGAAAGAGATGGACAGAAATAACGATGGGTGAAAGAAGCATCAGTTGGTTGCCCCTTGCATGCCCCCAGTCGGGGACCTGGCCTATAATCCCACATATGAGCCCTCATTGGGAATCAAATTGGCGACCTTTTGGTTTGCAAGACAATGCCCAACCTACTGAGCCACACAAGTTATGACTCAGGCCCATACTTTGTGATGTCAGTGATAAGACAAAGTCAGAGGGCTTCTTTCTTTTTTGTTTTTTTTTAATTGATTTTAGAAAGAGAGGAAGGGAGAGAGTCAGACATCAGTGTTGTTGTTGTACTTATGCATTCATTGGTTGATTTATGTTCCCTGACCAGGGATCAAACCTGCAACCTTGGCGTATTGGGATGTTGCTCTAACCAACTGAACTACCCAGCCAGGGTGTCAGAGGGCTGATTTCAAACAAAGCCATTCTACTTTTAAATGCTTTGTGTTACTAGAAATTTTGCTGTGAGTTTGTTGGGAGCAAAAAGTGTTCTAGGCTCTATATTCCATTGCTGTTGTCTGGGTCATAGGCCAGTTAGAAAATCAGTATAAGATTAGAAGGCAAAAAGGAATGTATTCAGACCTACTTGGGTTGACGTTTTGACATTAGATGAGGCATCTTTCCTATCTGAGCCTTCAGTTTTCTTTCTTTTCTTCAAGCCTCCTGTTTTTATCAATATAATGAGTAGTAGTATAGTAGTTGGCCTGCCTAACTCACAAAGTTATTCTATGGATCAGAAACAAGCAGTTCAGCTAACAAGCAGTTCAGATGTACATACATACAGAAATATTCTGCTGTATAGAGCACATTTTCTGTAATAGAGTGATCAGACCAAAACAGTGAGAGAGGGCAAGGTGTGGGGAGAAAACCTCAAGGTGGAATTGAAGATTAAAAGCAGAGGGGTTGCTGGAGGAGGGAGATTGCCCGAGGCAGAGAAGCGGCTTGTGACTCAGCAGAAGGGAGCTTGTACAGACCATGCATGATTCAAGACTTTTGCCCCCTTATGCAACATGGTTGCTGGATGAGGGGAAAAGCGAAACAGCTGACATTAGCCCTCATTGTTTGAAAAGGTGGACACTCCCACTGCCTTCTGGCACACATGGGATTTTGGGAGAGGACTTTTAAACTAAAAGCAGGCAGAAGCCTCACTCTTGCTTTGCCCTGTGCAGGTTGGAGTGGCAAATGCCAGGATTACTCAGGATTTTGACCCACATTGTTGGAAGTCAGCTCCTGGAGGCAGGGTGCCACACTGGGATGCTTGCCGTGGCAGGCATCAGCCCTTGGGACACTATGACCCACTGCAGGACAGTATACGGGTCCCGGACTGCTTTCATTTTCTCACCCTGAGAGCAGCACACAGAGGCATGAGCTGGGAAGTTCCTTGCAGATGGAGCTTCCCCTGCATGATTGTGTGGAGTAATCTGAGTGTGCACCCCAGACCCTGAGAGAGAGAGCTGCTATGAGGCGATAACGACTCTGGCCAGAGAAAGAAAGAGCTTGGAGCTATAGAGATGGAGACCCAGTTGACTAATAACCTTGGGCTCCAGATAAACAATGGGTAACTTATGGATATGGATTTGGACTTCAGTCTTCCTGAGGGTGGCTGGTTCTCTGTGTTTTGCAGAGAGGTTGGTTTGGTTGGCTTGGAGCAGGAATGCTCCAGCCCCCTCAGTCTGGGCACCCTATAATAAAAACCTACTTCCCCACAAATCTTTGTGTTTTACGTATTCTGGGGACAAGCAGCCAGACCCCATGCTGCCTAGGTACATTTTATCATAATGAAATTTATAGTTACTGGAAAGAATTAGCATAGAGAATTAGGCCATTTTGATTTCTCAGTACTTTAAACAATCTGAAAGTTTTCTGAGATGATACAAAGTTATGGGGACTGAAAGGAGAGTAGTCTAAAATGCAAATCCTAAATTCCTTCTAGAGCTTAGAATGATAACTGTTCACTTTTCCCTTTCCATCCCTCTTCTTTAAAAAAGCAAAGAAGCCCTGGCCGGTGTGGCTCAGTTGGTTCAGGTGTCGTTCTGTGGATCAGAAGGTCACAGGTTTGATTCCTAGTTAGAGTACCTGCCTAGGTTATGGGTTCAGTCCCTCGTTGGGGTTCATATGCGAAGGCAGCCAATAGATGTTTCTCTCTCAGCAATGAAAAAAATGTCCTAGGGTGAGGATATTTTTTTAAAAAGGTAAGAAGGAAACAATTCATTTTCTGTATTGTACCAGGGTTAGATAGATGTCAGTGATTTCTGTGGTTCTTATTTAGCTCAAACTTAATATTTTTGAAGAATTTAGATCTACTCCTTCATTACTTTTCATTGAAAAAGAAAAGAATTACTCTTGTTTTGCTTCTCTGTCTTAACTCTATTTAGATTTTAAGATTCTTTAGGCAAAAATGGGTTACTTGGGACTCTTAGGGTTACTACCTTCAAACAGATTCATCATTAAGCCCTTCTTGTTGAAATACTAATCAGTTAGCACTTTTTACCATCTCCTGGCTCTGCCTGAATATTAGTGTCAGAGGAAATCTGATTTTATATAGCACGTCAGAGTTTTGAGACATTTAGAAATGATAAGAATTAAAACAGTCAGCTTCTGGTCAAGATGGTAATGTAGGCAGACATGGCTCACCTTTTCGCACTACCACATCAAAATTAAAACTACAATACAGAACAACCATCACTCATGAACGTAAGAGTGATGGTTGAATGGAAGCCCGGTAGCTACAGAATTGAAGAAACTACATCCATCCAGACTGGTAGGAGGGGTGCAGATGCAGAATCGGCTGGTTTCATATCCACGTGGATAAAAATTTGAGAGGAATATCTTGGCAGCAAGGAGTCCCAGACCCACACCAGGACCCCCAGCCCAGGATTCCAGTGCAGGGAAGATAAGTCCCCACAACTTCTGGCTGTGAAAACCAGTGGGGATTGAGTTAGTGGAGGAGGCTGCTGGAGCCCTAAGCAGTTCCTCTTGGGGAGCCCACACATGGAATGACCTACTCAGTCTCGCTCCTCCTGAGCTCCAGCACTGGGGTGGCAGCTGGAAGGTCACCAGTGTTGTACAAGGAAGGACTGAAGTATCTGGCATTGGGACGAGCCAAGGCCATTGTTCGTTTGCTGAGCCCTCCCCACAAAAAGCTCGTAGGCTGGTCCCGTATCTGAGACACGATCAACCTGGCTAACACGGTGTGACTCACTTTGGAGATCCACAGAGACTCTACCCTACACAATTTAGGAGCCCATCTAGTTTAGGAGCCCACCCAAGCTACTTTCCCATCAGAATAGCTGGTTTTGGGTCCTAAATCCTATCAAACAAGCAACAGCTGGCTTCAGGGAGCCTTAGTGGCAGCCAGATTAGAGTCACAGCTTATCTTCACCTGGGACTCTCCAAGACCAGCACAAGTAGCAGTCATCTCAGACTGCTTTGCAGGGTAGCTCATGCAGGGTACCCTGGGAAAAACACAGGTGAGGGCTGAACTTGGCCTGCGCCACCCAGGAAACCCAAGGGCCAATGCATCCAGTGGACAGCTACAGACCACATGGGAGCATCACCACCCTGCCCCTTGTACAGCTGATCCTCCACAGAGGATGGAGGTTGGTGGTCAGTAGTCACAGCCAGGCCCTGCAGCTGACTGGCCTGGGGAAATTCCTCCCACTGATCTGCCAACAGCCACCAAGGTTCAACCACAAGAAGAGGGTGTCCTCAGCCCACACAAAGGGTGCACCTCATTACCCAGCTTGGGTGATAGGGGAGGCTGTGACACTGGACCCTACAGGACACCTACTTCATTTGGCCACACTACCAAGATATGGAGTCAAAAGCAGCTCTACCTAACACATAGAAACAAACACAAGGAGGCTGCCAAAATGAGGAGACAAAGAAACGTGGCCCAGATGAAAGAACAGATCAAAACTCCAGAAAAAAGAACTAAACAAAATGGAGATAAGCAATCTATCAGATGCAGAGTTCAGAAACACTGTTTATAAGGATGCTCAAGGAACTTAGTGAGGACCTCAGCAGCATTAAAACGACCCAGTCAGAAACAAAGAATACACTAATTGTAATAAAGAATAATTGACAGGAAAGCAACAGTGGAGTGGATGAAACTGAGAATCCAATCAATGATTTGGAACATAAGGAAGCAAAAAACTATCACGCAGAACAAGAAGAAGAAAAAATAATCCAAAAAATGAGGATAGTACAAAGAGCCTCTGGGACAACTGCAGGTGTTCCAGCATTTCCATCATAGGGGTGCCAGAAGGAGAAGAGAAAGAGCAAGAAATTGGAAATCTATCTGAAAAAAATAGTGAAAGAAAACATCCCTAATTTGGTGAAGGAAATACACATGCAAATCTTAACAAGCACAGAGAGTCCCAATTATGATGGATGCAGAGAGGCCCAGTCCAAGGCACATTATTATTAAAAGGCCAAAGTTAAAGATAAGAGACTTTTAAAAGGCAAAAGAAAAGAGTTACTGGTAGGTTGCCAGATGAGAAGGGGGAGGTGGAGAAGGGGTGAAGAGGTGAGGGGATTAAGAAGTACAAATAGGTAGTTACAGAATAGTCATGGGGCTATAAAGTGCAGTGTAGGAAACAGAGTAGCTAAAGAACTTACACCTGTGACCCACGGTCATGAATAAAGGTGGGGGGATTGCCTCGTGCTGGGTAGGGGGTGGCAAAGGGAAAATCAGGACAATTGTAATAGCATAATCACAAAAACATATTGATTATTAAAAAACAGTTATAACAGTCTTTGAATAGCATTATCATTAGTTTATTGTCTTATTAGATCAACATTTACTAGCTTTTAAAGTCCATGCCCTACTCTGAAAATGTTTAAAAGAAACTACCTTTCAATACTGTTTATTGAAGTTTCAAAAAATTTTATGCTGTGTGCCTTAAAAGTGCATTAAAACAAAATGCATGAGTCTTGGAGTGATTATTTTGAGTGAAAGAAGCCAAAAAAGAATGAATTTTAAAAATCTGCTTCAAATTCCAGAAAATACAGCCTAATCTGTAGTGACAGAAAGCAGATTGGTTGTTGCCTGGGGGTGAAGGTGAGTGGTGGGAGGGATTGATTACTCCGGGATCGCAGCACACTTTTTGGGTAGAAACAGGTGTGTTCACTGTCTTGATTTGGTGATGGGTTCGTGGGAGTACATGTGACAAAACTCATTTAACATTTCAGGTTGAATTTTTGCTGTTTGTTTTATGTTTCATACCACTATAAAATTATTTTTAAAAAAACAGGAAACCTTTTACTTAGAGATTACTAATAAAAGAAATACTTAAGCCATCTGTCTGAGGAACGAAAGCATAGATTATTTTGCCTTTTCAAATCTCCATAGTCCTTTTTGGCATTCATGGCAGTGGTTTTATTGGTATTCTCATTTTCTACAACGTCTAATAGACTGGGACTTGAACCTGGTGTGACTTTGCTTCTCTGTGTTCCCTGAAGTCCTACTGTGTGCTGGCTTACCAATCTAAAATTATTTTCAGTGAACACAGTCCCGTGTCATGATCACCTGTGTATTTTCTTTCCTTTGGACTGACCATCTTTCTGGTGAACTGTAATAAGAGTACTGGTGACTAAAAATGTTTAAGGACTTGATACATTTTTGGTTTTATGTTATATAAAATAAGATTAATAGATTTTTTGTATCCCTTTCATACAGCTTTCTGAAACAAAAGTATTTACTGCCTCATCTGTTCCACCAGAGAATCATGTCACACCTGGACAAAGGTAAATACCTTTTGCCGTCTTTTGTTTGTTACAGTTGAAATATTTTGCCTCAGGAAAATTGTTCTGGTTCTTAGGTCTCTTGATTATTTTTCCCTTTTCTTGAATCTCTCTGGGGTTTTTTCCCTTACTTTCTTAGACTTTGTTTTATCCCAAACCTACCTAGTAAGCTGACAGAGCCTCCATCATTTCCTAATAGGTTGTATCTACTGATGAATTAGAATATTTGTGTTTTGCTACCGCTTGAGGGGGAGATTATGTTAAACCTATGTAATAATATTTTTTTACTTTTGTAAACTTGTTTTTTGACAGATGAACCTAACACAAACTTTGTTTTGGTTTCCTCATATAATACTATTAATTTAGATCTTCTCAGGCTGGTACAGACTTCTCATTTTTTATGGGTTCTACTAGTTTTAATCCAGTTGTCTCATAGATTACAGAAAAAGAAGGAACTTTGTGGGTAATAGAGATGTTGGTAGAATTTGTACAGAACTAAATTACATCCTAGTTTTTACAATAACTCTAAAAGCTTTTCATTGTACTTTGAAAGTACAGTGACCCAGAAGGATGAAAACCCTGATATGTCTCACGCCTGAGAATTGAAGACAGTTTTGAATCTAACATGCTCGATCTCATGCTAAATGATATGGTTATAAGATTTTGTTGCAGGGAAATAAAAATGATTAAACGTTATGTCCTGCAATATGTTGTTTTGTGAATTGCTAAGAATTTCTTGTTAAGTGGATATAACTTCTTGATTGAATTCATTACTCAGTGAATTTGGTAGTATTCTTTTCATCTTTTAAAAAATATGAAGTGGACTCTTTTCATGATTATTTTTCAGAAGACATTGTTGTAGCATTTTTTATGCATATATATCTCATCAGTCTTTTGAAATAGAACTTGCTCTGTTCTTGTTGTAATACAACTGTTTTGGGATGAGTCATATATAATATAATTAAGCTGAGTTTGTATTCTTGAAGTATCCCATAAGCCAGAACATGATCTTGGATCCAAAATACTAGTCTGGGACTTCAGCCTGGTCATGGGAAAGTCAGAGTAGTAGTGTATAGGTAGAGGAACTCAGGTCCAGGAATTTTGCTCTGTATCAGGAATGTGTCTTGAATTATTTTACCTTTTAGAATCTGCATTACTTGCATTGTGAAAGTTACAGTCAGGAGACCGACTGGAAACTGGCCTTTGAAAGATTTTAATGGAGCAAATTATCATGTTAGGTAATTCTGTACACCTTGTAGGTCCTGTGGAGAAGAGTTAGTAGCTCACTCACATGTCAGGTAGTATATATATCTGGAGATCATTTCTTCCTCATGCTTTCAGGTTTTTAGGCCAAGGTTCTCAAATTGGAATATCTGTTTCTAGGGCGTCACAAGAGTTGTATTTAACAGAGTGTGTTAGTGTATTGTGCACTCTTCACTGAAGATTTAAGGGAGAAATATATATGAGATTTATATGAACTTAAATATGTTATTGTATAGTGTACAGAACTTACAGGGACATTTATGATAAATATGAAATTCCTTGAATGGTCTCCTATCTGTTATCCTCATTCCCCCACAATATGGATTCACTCTGCTTTAGGAAAGTTTGAGGCACTGGTTCCAAGTACTAAAAGGAGTAAAATATCCTAAAGGAAGCAAGCCAAACTTTAGAAACTTATTTAAGTTTACTCAATTGATCTAGCTTTTCAAATTAGTTGTCACTGTTTCATTTCTGTGGAAATATCACAGTGCACCTTTTCATTTTTCTTCTCTGCAGTGCCCTGCCTCAATCTCTGTGGCTTCATATGCTTTGTGTGTGTGTGTGATTGATGCACTCCTTTTGGCTTCCCCTAAACTCCAGTTTCCAAAGGTTTTCCTTACTTAAGTAATTTTTGGCATGAATTTACTTTATATTGATTCACTTCTCAAATTCATTTGTTGGTAAGATTTATTTATGACTTGTTCTTCATTTGCTTTTTGTCTGCTTAGCATTGATCTGGTAGCCTTGCTCCAGAAGCCCGTTCCTTCCAATCAAGTCTCAGAAGTCAGCTCCTTTGAAACCTCCCAACAGCAGGGCTTCGGCCAGGCCCTTGTCTTCACAAATTCTCAGCACAACAATCAGATGGCACCAGGGACTGGCAGTTCCACTGCTGTCAACTCCTATTCTCCTCAGAGTCTGGTAACTCACTTTCATTTCACCGTGGAATTTCAAGGAATGTGCCATGAGCAACTGTATGCTAGGATGACACGTGTCTTATAACTATTTTCTAAATACAGAAAATTTCTACAGCACATCTCAGTCCAGAAAACAATGATGTGTTCATTTCCAAGCACATATCTGATGATTCCATGTGGAATTCAACTACTCTGAGTTTTCTGGACAAAGATAAAAATACTCCTTCTTAAAGTTGAAATCTTTTTGGTCATAATCATTCAGGCATTCTTACTAATGATTTTTTCATGGATTTTGTTTAAAGGCCAGTTTCTATACTTAAGATGTTAAAATTTTTATTTTCCAATTAACTTAAATGTAAATGTTTGTCAATATTGTCTTGCTAAAATTATTTAGAAACCATTCTTTCCAAGTCTGCCTAGGTGCTTACTTTTTTTTGTATTTTTATTTACTTTGTTATTCCATAAACTTAGTGCACTTTTCTTAAAGGCCACACTATGTAGTGAGGACCCTTATAATTTGGATGTGTTTTCATTGAAACAGTGTCATCTGCTGCTGCATATATGACTCTTGACTCCCCGTGAGAGTTAAGCTCCCATTAGAAAGAAGTTAAGAAATTTTTAGTGAAGGGTGTGAGGCTAGGCTGATGGAAGTAGAGGCTCTGCAAGCATAGAATGTAGAAGACGTAGCTGCAGAATGGGGAAGGGAAGTGCCTTCCCTGTCCAACTGTAGACAGTGATGAGTTGGCAGAAGGGAGGTTAGAAGGACCATACACATAGATCCACAGCTTTTACTAATGATAATTATTTTGATTCATTTTTGCCGTGTTTTACCTGAAATCTACAGTGGAGAAACAGAATTTCTTATGAATATGATGCAGTCTTTTCCTTTTACCTGACTCAGAGCCATTTGCTGTACCCTAATAAAATGTAGAATTCAATATGCACACTTTTCATTGCTATATTCTATTCTACAGGCATGTTATGTCAAGTATATCTGGCTTGGAATATACTTGGCATTTTTTAAACAACATTTTACTTATTTATTTTTAGAGAGAAGGGAAGGAAGGGAGAAAGAGGGGGAGAGAAACATCAATGTGTGGTTGCCTCTCATGTGCCCCCCCCCCCCACTGGGGACCTGGCCTGCAACCCAGGCATGTGCCCTGACTAGGAATCAAACCGGTGACCCTTTGGTTTGAAGGCTGGTGCTCAAACCACCGAGCCTCACCAGCCAAGGTGGAATATACTTGGCATTTTTAGTGTTATTGAAGATGGTTCGTGAGAGGGTGTCAGTGCTTAAAGTGGGATGGAGAGTCCAAGCCCTAGTGCCCTCTCTGCTTTGGGAGGCCTAATAGTACCTAGCACTCAGTTTTGGTTGAGCCACTGTGCCCTCTGCTCCTCTGCTTTTCCATCTGCTCCTGGTGTACTGAAGTCCTGTCCTTGCTGACCTGCTGGAATCCTAGCCAGGCTTAGCCGAGAGCAGATAGGACCTGAGGTTTTTTTGTTTGTTTACAGTGACCTTCAGGTGTGTTGTTTCTGTCATAAGCAACACCTTGAGAAACTGGTAAGAATTTTTTGTGTGATGTATTAGAGCAGTAGTTCTCAACCCTACCATGCTTGTATAATCAATGGGGAACTTCAGTAAATAACAACAGTAATAATGATAACAGTGAAATAATGCCAGACAGAGTTTTTGGGCTTGGAAATTGGGCACTGTGTGTGGTGTGTATATGTGAGTGCATGCACACACGTGTACCAATACACACATTTTTAAAGCTGATTGAAATGTATAGGTGGGATTAAGAGATCCTTTGCCGGCGCTTCATTGAGGCGGGGATTTCTTTGTGTTGTATGGCACACAGAAAGTGTGTTTTATAAAACTAGCTGATACAGGATAGAGATTAGGTAGGGAAAGATGAAGAGTGAAGGCATCATTCGAGAAGCTTTCATCGCACGAGTGGGCTTGAGCTCGGTTTTGGCAGATTTGTGGCAATGAAAGAGAAGTGTAATGGGTAGCATGAGCCAAGAATTTGGAATATGATAAGTAATGTGAGCACAACTGTTCTAATAGGAGCAGATTCCATGATTAATGTGTAATAACGGCTCACAACCTAAAGTTTCCCTAACATTGGAGGATTTGGATTTCCTTTGAACAACAACTAGGACTCCCTGTGCCCTTGGATATTGATAACAAATAGTTATTTCAGTTTCCTAGATCTGGCCTCTTGAGGGAGTGCAAATCATTTCTGTTTTTGACCTTCTGTTTTAGGTGGTTTTGAAAGTTATTTTTGACAAAGTACTTGTCTTTTCAGAAACTGAATGATTTTGATAGTGTAAAAAAGCAGTGGATCTACCATTATGTTCACTAGTCATAGGCTTTAATTTTCCTGAGGTCCTCATATCTGACGTCACAGGACAGACAGGCAGGGGAAACGTCACGTTGTCTTTTGTGTGCTTGCTTGTGGAATGTATTTTGTATTCTTAGGCATCGAACAACTTGAAATAAACACAGCAGTGTGCAGGGTATTTGCTCAGTATACAAATACCTCCTGTGTCAGATTTTGGAATACTGACGTTTTAAGTAAGTGCTGTGACCTGCATTTAATCTTACAGACCTCATGGCTGATCTTTTTGTGACCAAACCTAGTCTAATCATTAAAGATGATTACTGTTCCATGCATTTAAAAAAAGAACACACTATTTTTGTTTTATAAGCTTGTGTTTGCTGTTTAATTCATGACATTCCTCCTTAGTTTAAAAAGTAGTATTTTGTTTGTGAATCTGTGACATCACTTTTTAAAAATACCCAATTCTTAAAATCTAGGGAATATGTTTCCTTTTCCATTAACTTCATATCAAAATCGGGAAGTCTTGCTGGATTTATTTAGTCAGATCTTATTGCATAGTAATATTTTCATCTTGTATTTATTCATATAAGTCTTACTAATTCACATTTTCTGGATCATAGTTTTTAAAATTCTTGTGAAAATACTTGGCATGTTTTAAAGCTTGGGTTAGAAATTCTGTATTGTTTAGGATTTCTGTTTTCTTTCCCTTTAAAGTCATCCGTCCTGGGCTCAGGATTTGGAGAGCTTACATCTTCAAAACTGGCAAACGTCACCAGCTCCCAGATTTTGGACCAATTGAAACCTCCAAGTTTGGGCCAGTTTACCACCACCCAAAGTTCACAGCAGAACAGTACGAGCCCCCCCACAACCACTTCTTCTTGGGACCTCAAGCCCTCAGCTACCCAGTCCTCAGTTCTTAGCCATTTTGGTAAGTGTACAGTTTCTGTGGTTGTTCACAACCTAAACATCAGCAGAGGCTGTTGACTTGTGAACACTGATGTGGAATTTTTCCAGAGAGGTTTTTATTTTTAGTAGAATTTCACAAAGTTTCTGAATTAAATCAGTCAGATTTGTATTGTGTAAATAAATATACCTGCATTTATTTGTTACTAGTAGTAGTAGGTCCTACCTTGGAGAGATGTGCAAAAGCATGTTAAAGGCATGTAAGTATAAGGAAACACAGAATTTTCTGAGCTGTATTAGAAAAAGGTGGTGGCAGAAGGTGGACTATGGAAAACATTTTAAATCACACCGACTACGTTGCTTTCTCATTCTAACGTTTACATGTATCCACTATGCTTTGGTTCAGCCTTACCACCTGTGGTTTGTACATTAAAGGCAACACGTGTAAGTTGGAGGTTTTCTAAATTCTACTTACATAAGTTTTGTGACATTAAACTACCATTTCCTGCCTTGTCCAAGTGGCTCAGGTGGTTGGGGTGTCATCCTGTAGAACAAAAGGTTGTGAGTTTGATCCATGGTCAGGGCACATACCTAGGTTGTCGGTCTGATTTCTCGTCGGGGCACTTACGGGAGGCAACTGATCAATGTTTCTCTTTCACATCAGTGTTTCTCTCTCTCTTGCCCTCTTCCCCCTTCTTCTCTCGCTAAAATCAATAAACATGTCCTCAGTGAGGATTTTTAAAAAATCTTTAAACTGCCATTTTCCACCAACACACATCACACTGTATTAAGGACTAGCAGGGGGTTACATTAAACATAGAGTTGGTTGTGTGGACTGGTTCATGTTTAGGGCATATCAAGTGACATGGAAGCACATTTCTCTACTGAATGAAATGGCTTACTGTTGTGGAAGTACCTGAGACTGTTCCCAGGTTTGAAGTGATGCCTACCAAGGAAATTCACTAGAGACTCAGTGCCCAAGGTTTTTTCATGGGGTTGGTTTTTTAGGCACCCTCTGCCTAGTACACACCAAAACTCCTAGAAGGGGAAAGCAAGTGTTCAGTGTAAACCATGTTGTACAAGTATTCAAGGCACGGAGTCACCTTTAGTGGTTAGAGTTGGCACTCTTTCCCTAGAACATACAAAAATTCTGTGTTCTCAGACACTAGCCAAGGGCTAATCTTGCAAGCTAGCGTTACTTTTTTCTTTTTAAGTTTTTTTTTCCTTTTATTGATTCTAGAGAGAGGGGAAAGGAGGGAGAAAGAGAGGAAGAGAATCATGCATGTGAGAGAGAAACATCGATTGGCTGCCTTTTGCATGCCCCCATCTGGGTCCTGAACCCGTAACCCAGGCATGTGCCCTGACTGGGAACGGAACCTGCGACCTGCCCAACCACCTAAGTAAGCCACACCGGCCAGGGCACAAGCCAACATTTCTTGGCAGCTATAGACCTCCTATGTTAATTTTTTCCACCATACTTACTAAGAGATAATGAGGTTTTATATTTAAGGATGCCATTTATATATTCTTTTAAAAAGTCTATCTTTTTTTGTAGGTGCCTATAATGTTAAATCCCAAAATAAATTCATCTAGCATGGAAATACACTAAGTCATAGGTTGGTAATCCTTCAGCTCAATCTGCTACCTGTTTTTGTAAATACAGTTTTATTGAACACAGCCACAGCCATTTACATATTGTCTATAACTACATTCAGTCTACAAAGGCAGATTTGAATAGTTGCTAACAGATAGCTTTTAAAGCCTAAAATAATTTACTCCCTGGCCTTTTGCAGAAAAAGATGGATAGAGGTAACATTTCAAATCAGTGGTGAGAAGGTGTTTATTGCTGTTGGCTATCTGGCTGAAAGGTGAAGTTGGATCCCTGACATCCACTCTACACCATAGTGCCACTGGTTCAAATATTTAAACATAAAGAGTGAATCTAGAACAGTAGTAGAGAAAAACAGGAAGATTTTGATATATCCATGTGTGAGGTGGACTTTTCTAAATATGACAGGAAACACCATAAACAAATCAAAGGAGAGACAATTTTTTTTAATCTTTTTTTTTTTAAGATTTTATTTACTTATTTTTAGAGAGGGAAGCGGGGAGAGAGAGAGAGAGAAACATCAGTGTGCAGTTGCTGGGGGTCATGGCCTGCAACCCAGGCATGTACCCTGACTGGGAATCGAATCTGTGACACTTTGGTTCACAGCCTGCGCTCAATCCACTGAGCTACACCAACCAGGGCAGGAGAGACACATTTTGAAAATAATATTTGAAAATCATATCACAGATAAAGTGATCATAACTTCCTTAATATAAAGAATAACTAAAATTCATGGAGACCAAAAATAAGTTAAAAATGGTTAAAGAGGTATGGACATAGCAAGTTAGTAGGCCAAGAACACTTAACTGTATCAGTGACGCTTAACTTAGATCATTTTGTTTAGAATCTTTTATACTATTTTTCACCTGTCAAACTAAGAAGGACGAAAGTTTGGAATGTAAAAAAGGATGTGTTCTCACTATGGATAGGACTTTTAAAGTGTTTGTTATTGTTTAAAATATAGTCGTTTTTTGAACCTATCCAGCAACTGATTTCTTGTAGGTATACTTACACTTGAGCAAAATGTCTTAAATATAGTTATCGCAACATTGTTTTCCACAGCAAGATATTGCTATTAATAGACCTAAAAGTCCATTAATATAGCTCTAGTTTTAGAATGTGATACCTATGTACACTGGATTACTGTGTGGCCATAAAAATGAAGTGTTGGTAGCTCTTTATTCCATTAATATGAAACATTCTCTGACACATGAATGGTTTGTGAGGAAGCAAGATAGATAGATAGACAGGAAGTGGTGTGTCTTTGTCTATATATTTTGTGTATTGAAATACTGTCTGTAAAGATATTCAAGAAAGTGAACCCACTGCCTGCCTCTGTGGAGTGAATCTGGGAACAGGGTGGAAGGGTGATTGGTAATCATCATATACATTTTTGTACCTTTTGAATTTTATAATACTACATATGTTACTTAGTGGAAAAAATTAGTAAAATAATTTTCAAAAGTTTAGTAGAAAATCCATAAAGCAACAAAATATAATTCTCTGTTAGCTAAAGGCCAGATGCATATACCCATTCCATGGTAACCTTACCCACAAACTAGTCAAAATTAGGTTTAGAGACTTCCGGTCAACATGGCAGCATAGGTAAACATTGCTCACCTCCTCACACAACCACATCAAAATTATAATGAAAATATAGAACCACCATCACTCAGAACTGTCAGATATCACATTCAGTGGAAGTCTGACAACTGGGGAATTAAAGGAACCACATCCATCCAGACTAGTAGGAGGGGTGGAGGCATGGAACAGGCTGGTGCCACATCTACCTGGGGTGAATAAAAATCTGCGAGGGATATCTCAGGAGCAGGAAATCCTAGTCATACACCAGGACCCCAGTCCCAGGGTTTCTGTGCCAGGAAGATAAGTCCCCGTAACTTCTGGCTGCGAAAACCAGTGCGGATTGAGTCAGTAGAAAAAACTGCTGAGTCCCAAGCAGTTCCCTGTAAAGAACCCCCACACACAGAATTATTCAAGTTTTCTCTCAGCTCCAGTACCACAGTTAGCAGCTTGAAAGGTACGGGTGGTATAAAGGGAGGAACTGAAGTGTCTGACATCAAAGTGGGAGCGAGAGAACAGCTTTCTTCTAGGCAGAAAGGTGGGCAGAGGCCATTGTCCATTTTCTGAGCCCTCACCCCAAGGAACCACAGAGGCAGTGGGCCAGTGTCATATCTGAGACTCCATCAACCTAGTTAACACTGTTTGCCCTGCCCTTGAGATCCCCAAGACTCTGTCCCACTCACCTTATGGGCCCAACCAAACTGTTAACCATGACTTTTCCATATGAAGGCTGGTCTTGTCTCATGTCTCACAGCTTCCTAAATTCTATCAAGTAAGCAATTGCCAGACTAAGCAAGCCCCTAGCCCCCATACCTCTTGTGAAGTAGTCCCAGTTCTGGCACTAGCAACAGCCAACCTAGATTCATACCTTGGCTTCATCTGGGAATCTCCAAGCCCAGCACAACTCAGACTGTTTTATAGCTCATGCAGAGTGGCCCTGGGGAGAACACAGTTGGGGGCTGACCTGGGCCTGTACCACCAGGGAAACCCATGCATCCAGGGCCAGTACATCCAATGGACAGCTACAGACCACACGGGAGCATCACCACCCTGCCCCTTGTACAGCTGATCCTCCACAGAGGATGGAGGTTGGTGGTCAGTAGTCACAGCCAGGCCCTGCAGCTGACTGGCCTGGGGAAATTCTTCCCACTGATCTGCCAACAGCCACCAAGGTTCAACCACAAGAAGAGGGTGTCCTCAGCCCACACAAAGGGTGCACCTCATTACCCAGCTTGGGTGATAGGGGAGGCTGTGACACTGGACCCTACAGGACACCTACTTCATTAGGCCACACTACCAAGATATGGAGTCAAAAGCAGCTCTACCTAACACATAGAAACAAACACAAGGAGGCTGCCAAAATGAGGAGACAAAGAAACGTGGCCCAGATGAAAGAACAGATCAAAACTCCAGAAAAAGAACTAAACAAAATGGAGATAAGCAATCTATCAGATGCAGAGTTCAGAAACACTGTTTATAAGGATGCTCAAGGAACTTAGTGAGGACCTCAGCAGCATTAAAACGACCCAGTCAGAAACAAAGAATACACTAATTGTAATAAAGAACAATGGACAGGGAAGCAACAGTGGAGTGGATGAAACTGAGAATCCAATCAATGATTTGGAACATAAGGAAGCAAAAAACTACCAGGCAGAACAACAAGCAGAAAAAATAATCCAGAAAAAATGAGGATAGTACAAAGAGTCTCTGGGACAACTGCAGGTGTTCCAGCATTTCCATCATAGGGGTGCCAGAAGGAGAAGAGAAAGAGCAAGAAATTGGAAACCTATCTGAGAAAATAGTGAAAGAAATCCCTAATTTGGTGAAGGAAATAGACATGCAAATCTTAACAAGCACAGAGAGTCCCAATTATGATGGATGCAGAGAGGCCCAGTCCAAGGCACATTATTATTAAAAGGCCAGAGTTAAAGATAAAGAGAGTCTTAAAAGCAAGAAGAGAAAAGTAGTTGCTTAGAGGGGAGTTCCCATAAAACTATCAGCTGATTTCACAAAAGAAACTTTGCAGGCTAGAAGGGATTATGAAGAAATATTCATGTCATGAAAAGCAGGGACCTACAGCCAAGATTGGTCTACAAAGCATAGAGAGCATTTAGTATCGAAGGGAGAGAAAGAGCTTCCTAGACAAGAAAAAACTAAAGGAGTTCATCACCAAACCATTATTATATGAAACGTTAAAAGGACTTACTAAGAAAAGGAAGATCAAAGCTATGAACAATAAAATGGCAATAAATAAATATTTGTCAACAACTGATTCTACAAAGCAAACTAAGCAAACAGGAAGAACTGAGACAGAATCATGGATACGGAGAGCATTTTGATAGTTGCCTGATGGGAGGGGGATGTGGGAGAATGAAGGAAGAGGTGAGGGGATTAAGAAGTACAAATAGTTACAGAATAGCCATAGGGATGTAAAGTACAGTATAAGAAATGCAGGAGCCAAAGAACCTGTATGCGTGATCCATGGACATAAACAATGGTATGGGAATTGCCTGAGGGAGTGAGGGGTTCTGGGTGGAAGGGGACAAAGGGGAAAAAATCAAAACAACTGTAATAGCATAGTCAATAAAATGTAATTTAAAATGGGGTCACAGTTGTAGTACAAACTGGGCTACAATAATAACAATAGAACAAATTGTCTTTTGTGTACTCATCTATAAACCTGCTTTTGACTATCCCTGTACATTCCTTACGCACGCTTGAGCGTGCACGCCTTTCCAGAGAACACTGATGGGATTCAGCTAGAAGACAGGTGGCAGAAACTAGTGATGACTGTAACTCTTTACTGCCAGTGATGATGGAAGAGGGTGGTGTAAGCTCATGTGTCAAATAATTGATTGTTGCTTCTTCTCTTTTTCTTTTACCCCCTCTTTACATATTTCCTAGACTTTAAATCTCAGCCTGAACCATCCCCAGTTCTTAGCCAGTTGAGCCAGCGACAGCAGCACCAGACTCAGACAGTCACTGGTCCTCCTCCTGGGTTGGAGTCCTTCCCTCCCCAGGTAAAACTCCGAGAGTCAGCACCCAGAGACAGCACCTCCACTGTGAACAAACTCTTGCAGCTTCCCAGCCTGACTGTTGAAAACATTGCTGTGTCTGCCCACCAATCTCAGCCTAAACACATCAAACTCACTAAGCGGCGGATACCTCCAGCTTCTAAGGTGGGTTTCCTATTGTGAAGTCACAGTCCCAAGGTGGATGTACCATATTTTGCTGTATATAATGTGCACTTTTTTGCCCAAATTTTTAGAGGGAAAAAGAGGATGAGTATTATACATGGGTATAATTATTGCATACCAAGGGTATAATAATCTTGTGTATAATGTGCATAAAACACAGATGTGGATTATACACAGGAGCACATTATACACAGCAAAATGCGGTATTTTAATGTTTAGCTTAAGTGTTATATTAGCAAGTCCGAGAAACTGGATATACATACTATTTTTCAAACATATTAGCTTACTGCTTTATGGGGAATTGGCTGTTTCTGAGTGACTAGGCTAACATTAGAGGGAATGGGTTTGTACTGCGAGAAAGAGACTGACTGAAATGAGAGGGTCTGGCTCACAGAATGTGATGGTCCTGTGTGTGTGAGGCTGTGTCCCATGGGTGGAGGATGAGTGGGTCTTTGGCCAGATAATGCTTTAAGGAGTTCTCCTCCTTCAACTCATCCATAACCACAGCCCCTCTCCCCCTTACCGCTCTAAGGAAGCAGTTGGTCATACAGACCATTCTGCTAAATTTTGGGTTTTCTTTGCTGTTTTCCCTTCTAACTCTTTTTTAAAAATGCAATTCCTTTTCCTTCCTTTTTGCCTTTCTTTCCTTGTTCCTCAGGCTTGCCAGGTGTGCCCTAGGAGCCCAGCACTCCCTTGGCTCTGGTGTAGGCCTTCGGGACTTGGCATCCATGCCTTCTCTTCCTGACATGGTGGCTTTGCTTTACAGACCCCAGCATCTGCGGTGGAAATGCCTGGCTCAGCAGATGTCACAGGATTGAATGTTCAGTTTGGCGCCTTGGAATTCGGATCAGAGTCTTCTCTCTCTGAATTTGGATCAGCTGCAAGCAGTGAAAACAGTAACCAGATTCCCATCAGCTTATATTCGAAGTCTTTAAGGTATATATAACTCCCCACTTCTGTGGTTTTGACTGACGTAAGTCTTTTGTTTGAAAGGTAAATAGAGTTTATGAAATCACCTGGTGGAGACAGACAGTATACCTTATAGTAGTGGGTTTGTGCAGCCCTATGAAATCACCAGTACCTAACCTGGAAATTTTCCTTTCATCATCCTATAAAGCAACCCTGTGCCTATTAGCAGCTACTCCCAATTCCCCCTCCCCTCATCCTCTGGCAACCAGTAATCTGTCTCTGGGTCTGCCTATTCTGGATGTTTCCTATACCTAGAATCATGGAATTTATGGCTGTTTGCCACTGACTTATTTTGCTTAGCATAGTGTTGTCAAGATTCATCTGTGTTGTAGCGTGTATGCACTTTGTTTACCAGTAATACTTTATTGTGCACACGTACCACATTCATTCATCGTTGACTGACATGCGGATTCCCTCGTTTTGGCTAGGATTAATCATGTTGCTAAGAACATTCAGTTACAGGTTTTGAGTTCTTTTGGTTCATTGGGTATATAACTAGGAATTGCTGGGTTATATGGTAACTTACATTTAACCATTTGAGGAAGCATCGAGCATTTCCCCCAGTGGCTGCTGTATTTTATATTTCAAGGCGGTGATCTCTGAGGAGTGCAGTTTTTCACATCTTGCCAACACTTACTTTCCTTCAGTGGAATATTTTATAAATAGAGAAGCCCAGATTTTAGATTTTATTACGTTAATTAATCTTCCCACTTTCCAAAGCCCAAACCTGATATTTGCTTGGGTTCCCTTTCTAAAGTTGGTTTCAAGGCATCTGGATTCCTTAAATCTTAAAGCTCTCCCCTTGTGTTAATTAAATTAGGTTGGTCTTTTTTGGAGGGAGGAGTTGGACTGGGGATTGTTTTGAATCTTCATTGCATTGTTAATAACTTTAAAGAATGCAGTAGTATAAACTTGTGGTTGTATACACATTTATTTAATTTAGAGTATGACAAAGTGACAAAATAGTTCTATGTCATGAAGCCATGGAAATTGACACAAATTTATGTCTCATACCTTTTATTCTTTGCAGTGATTCTTTGAATACTTCTCTACCAATGACCAGTGCAGTACAGAACTCTACCTATACAACTTCAGTCATTACCTCCTCCAGTCTGACCAGCTCATCCCTGAGCTCCACTAGTCCAGTAACAACGTCTTCCTCCTATGACCCGAGTTCTGTGCATAACAGGGTTGCATACCAAAGCTCTGTGAGTTCATCGGAGTCAGCTCCAGGAACTATCACAGTAAGTGGTCTTTCAGGTCTTTTCTTGTCCTGTTTGGAGCTCAGGGTGTAGTTTAGGAAATTAAGCTTTTCAACTGACTCTACAAGTTGTAACCATTTTTACAAGTTGTCTAACCATTTGAGAGCATCCTTGCAGTTTGTTGAATTTGGTAACAATAGGCATCTCATTTGAAATTTGCTGTTCAAGCACCTCACACACAGGAGTGTGGGTAAATGGACCCAGAAATGTGGTATAAGCCGTGGTTTGGATGAGGTAAGAGGGGTCTATAATCTTATCTGAAATATTTTAGTTCTTTGTAAAGCAAAGATATTCAAGCTTTATTGGTGAGAGCCACTTTAAAAAGTGGATAATAATAGCCCTGGCTGGGACCTGACTAGTGTGGCTCAGGTGGTTGGGCATCATTTCGCAAAGCGAAAGGTTGCTGGTTTAACTCCTGGTCAGGGAGGGCATGTGCCTGGGTTGCGGGTTTGGTCCCAGTCGAGGTGCGTACGGAAGGCAACCAGTTGATGTTCCTCTCCCTCTCTTTCTCCCTCCTTCTCTCTCTAAAAAGTAAGTAAACAAAATCTTAAAAAAAAACAAAAAAAAAACGACCTTGGCCAAGTGGCTCAGTTGATTGGAGCATTGTTCCATGCACCAAAAGACTACAGGTTCGAATCCCCATCAGGGTGTGTGTGGAAGGCACGCGATTGGTGGTGTGCACACTCTCTCTCTGCTCTCCTCTCCTCTCACCTTCCTCTCTCTCTAAAATCAATAAAGATATCCTCCGGTGGGGATTTAAAAAACAGATGATAACATAAAAATATTAAAATAGTTGAATTGGCCTAGCAGAAATTTAGGGTCTTCCCCCCCGCTTCCTCCCCCCCTCCCCCCCTTCCTCCCCTCTATTTATTTTTAGAGAAGGGGGAAGAAAGGGAGAGAGGGAAAGAAATATCGATGTGAGAGAGAAACATGGATCAGTTGCCTCTCATACGCACCCTGACTAGGGAAACGAACCTGCGACCCAGGCCTGTGTCCTGACTGGCAGTCCAGCCGGAGACCTTTCGCTTTGTAGGGTGACGCCCAACTGAGCCACGTGGGTTCACTCCCCATGTGGAGATATTTATACATCTCTACTTAAAATATATTTTTTAAACTAACTTTTATTTGTTTTTTATCTTTTATGTTACATATATTCCTCAAATATCCTGTGATTTCAGGCTGCCTACTTGAACTGAAAGGTTAACTAAGGGCTCCGGCTTGGGGTGGGCTGGGATGCGACTGACTGTGAGCGCTCCTGCGGGAAGCACAGGGAGGCCGCTTCTGTGGGTGAACTCCCCCGTCAGCCCCTTTGGGCCTTTTCCGTTGAGCTTGCTTTGATTCTCCAGGGACTGTTTCTAATCTCTTCCCTGTAGGGCCTTTGCCTGTCTGTCAGTGTCACAACTGACAGACTTAGTGAGAAGAGAAGGGCGCCCTTGGGATATTCATTTTGTCCACGTCTATTTAAAAGCCACGTATTTTTGACCTGTCATCTTTAACATAAAGTTTATTCCCGTGCTTTCCAATCTGGTAACCGCTAGCCACATGTAGTAGTTTATTTAAATTAAACAAACAGAAGTTCAATTCCTTGGACACACTGTTTGTTTATTTGTTTAATCCTCACCTGAGGATATGTTTATTGGCTTTAGAGAAAAAGGAAGGGAAAGAGTGAGAGAGAAGGCAATGTGAGAGAGGAACATCGATTGGATACCTCCCATACATGCCCTGACTGGGGATCGAACCCACAACCTATTACTGTTGTCACAGGCAGATGCTCCAACCATCAGAGCCACTCGGCCAGGGCTAACCATATTTTAAATGCTCAGTATCCAGATATATGGTTAGTGGCTAGAATATAGGAATGTGCACATATGGTATATTTTAAGTATATTTTATTGATTATGCTATTACAGTTGTCCCATTTTTTTTTCTCAGCTTTATCCCCCTCTGCCCTGCACCCTACCTCCCTTTAGCACCTTCAGCATTCTCCCTGCCCCTTAGTTCGTGTCCATGGGTCATACATGTAAGCTCTTTGGCTTCTCCACTTCCTATACTATTCTTACTCTCCCCCTGTCTATTTTCAACCTACCATCTATGCTACTTATTCTCTGTACCTTTCCCCCCTTTCTCCCCCTTCCACTCCCCTGCTGATAACCCTCCATGTGATCTTCATTTATGTGGTTCTGTTTCTGTTCTAGTTGTTTGCTTAGTTTGCTTTTGTTTTTGTTTTAGGATCACATGTTGATGTTTGTGAGTTGTCATTTTAGTATTCATAGTTTTGATCTTCTCTTAGATAAGCCCCTTTAACATTTCATATAAGGGCTTAGTGATGATGAGCTCCTTTAACTTGACCTTATCTGGGAAGCACTTTATCTGCCCTTCCATTCTAAATGATGGCTTTGCTGGATAGAGCAATCTGGGATATAGGTCCTTGCCTTTCATGACTTGGAATACTTCTTTCCAGCCCCTTCTTGCCTGTAGGGTTTCTTTTGAGAAATCAGCTAATAGTCTTATGGGCACTCCTTTGTAGGTAAATGTCTCCTCTTCTCTTGCTGTTTTGAAGATTCTCTCCTTATCTTTAATCCTGGGTAATAAAATTATGATGTGCCTTGGTGTGTGCTTCCTTCGGTCCAACTTCTTGGGACTCTCTGAGCTTCCTGAACTTGCATATTTATTTCCTTTGCCAGATTGGGGAAGTTCTCCTTCATTATGTTTTCAGATAAGTTTTCAATTTCTTGCTCTTCCTCTTCTCCTTCTGACACCTTTATGAGTCGGCATTGGAATGTTTAAAATTGTCCCAGAGGTTCTGAGGCCTCTCCATTTTTTTGCATTCTTGTTTCTTCATTCTGTTTCAGTTGAATGTTTATTTCTTCCTTCTGCTCCAAATCATTGATTTGAGTCCCAGTTTCCTTCTCTTCACTGTCAGTTCCCTGTATGTTTTCCTTTATTTCACTTTGTATAGCCTTTACTCCTTCCTTTATTTTGTGTCTGTACTCAATTATTTCTTTGAGCATCCTGATTACCAATGTTTTGAACTCTTCATCTTATAGGTTGGCTGTCTCCTCATTGCTTAGTCCTTTTTCTGGAATTTTGATCTGTTCTTTCATTTGGGCCATATTTCTTTGTCTAGGCACACCTGTTTCATTCTGAGGGGCAGAGCCTTAGGTATATGCCAGGGCAGGGCAACCTGCTTTGTTGCATTGTGGGTGAGGGGTCAGAGAGGGAACAGTGCAGCTTGCTTGGTTCTTACCCGTTTTCAGTCACTACCTTCACTTCCCACAAGTGGATTGTGCGCATTCAGGTGCTGATTCCTGGGTGGGTGTGCTAGTGTACATTCTAGGATCCTGTGGCCCCCTCCAGTAGACTCTCTTATGGGACTGGGAGGTCCTCTTGCCACCACAACCCACAGGTTTTTACAGCCAGAGGTTTTGAGGCTTTGTTTCCTGCACTGGAACCCTGGGTTGTGCAGTCTGTCTCACTCCCCAGTTGTTCTTCCCAGCTGATGCCAGTGTAGGACCACCTGGTCTGCAAGCTGCTGCTTCACCCACACTGTCTGCCAGCCGCCACATTGCAGCCCCAGCTGCCCATCTCCATCCCTCTTACCAGCATGAGAAGGGAATGTTTCTTTTCTTTAACTTCTTGGTTGTTGGACTTCCATACAGTTTGATTTTCTGGCAGTTCTGGTTGTTTCCTGTTTTCATATTGGTGGTTATCCTTTTTTGTGTGTGAGGAGTGACACGTATCTACCTACACCTCCATCTTGGCCAGAAGCCAGAATATTTCTATTACTGCAGAGCATCCCCTTGGGCAGTGCTGGTCTGTATAGTTTCTAAACATGTGAGACTGCATGCTATCCAAGCTTAAATCTTTACCTCCACAATACCTCAACCTCAGCTCTAACTTTACCTCTCCTTTTGCTTACACATACCACTCTTCACTCATTCTTGGCTTGGCTAGCTAAACTCAAACCCCTACAGTTCTCTGGTTTTCCTGACCATTTGATACTTTACTTTGACTAACACCGTTCTGCTGCCCAGCATTTCCCCAACACAATAATGTGACCCCCCCACCCCGCGTTGTGTTGGGTTGTCTGTTGTTTGTGTTTTAAAAATAATTTTCAAGGTGGAATGAAATATTCCTCAGGTCTGATGACAGCCGTTTCCCATTCCCCTTTTCTATCGTTTTGGTCTAGTGTAACTTTGAGAGGGCTTCTTTGTGTGCCAGGGTTTGCGCCGTTGAGGATGCGCATGCTCTACGCCGCGTGTCTGTGTTTCCTGAGCAGTGGTCTTAGTTGGGAGAGTGGCAGAAGCGTGGAGCTTTGGTTGCTCTCTGCCCATTGTTATGTTTCTCTTTCCCCAGCTCTAACCTTTTAAACTGATGGGTTTTTTTCCTTGCAGTTATTTTATTGTTTACATTTCTTGTAAATAATTTCAAACTGTTTAAAAAATAAAGTGTGTTGTAAATAACATTTCATGAACAGAAATTGTACTGGATTTGGGTTAATGTAGAGGTGACAGCTGTAAGGTTTGTCTTTTTCTTTAGTGGTTTAGACATTTGTAAGGAGGCCATTTCTGTTAGCCTCTTGCTGCCCCTGGGGGCCGTGTCTGAAGCTCGTGGACTCCATTAGCGATTCCTCCATGCCCTGTCTCCCCTGCTTGATCTGCGGAAGCAGAAGTTCCCCATGTGAGCTGGCTCTAATGAAATGCCTTATGGTTAAAACTCAAACCAATTGTTTTCATGTCCTTTTTTGGGGACTACCACACTGTCCTAACCCACTCTTCCCCTACTCAGTTCAGAAAAGCCATTTTCAAAGTAACATCGCTTTTCCTCTTAGAACCCTTTGCTGTTAATATAAAAAATCATTCCTTGTTTGAAAGCTATCTTTGTTTTATAATTTGGAAACTTTTTCTTTATTGCATGATTGATACTCAGGAGGCAAGAGTATACATGAGACAAAAAGGCTTCTTTCTGATGATTTCAATATAATGAGAGTTCCAAAGTTCTCCGTAATGCTTAATTTTAGGACTGTTTTCCATGATTTGGGTCTTAACATCATATCCTTGTTAACTTCTCTGAATTCCCAGTATGATTTTCAAAAATGTCAGCTCCTTGGGATTTGTTAACAATTTGTACTAATGCCCCTCATTGTATAAAAAGACAAAATAAAACAGGCCTTGATGATGACTTGTGTGTTTGTGCCTATACCCCAAAAGAAAGTCATCTGAGTTTTTTGATTTTCTGGGTTTATCTTATTTTCTCTTCCTTACAGAATGGACATGGTGGTGGTCGAAGTCAGCAGACGATAGACAGTAAGTGTACAGGCTACCTAGTTTTGTCACGGGTGGTGGAAACCAAGCGAAAATGGGCATCGCTGACTTGATGGGGAACACAGTAGGTTAACGTCTAATTCTACAAAAATAGTCCTTTTGAATTTTTTTCTGACAGCTACTTCTCATCCATTGTTGGCATCCTTTCTTTGGTGGGGGTTAGAAGTTCAGCTAGAGATTCCCTTGGGACCAGGTCTTAGCTGGTGGTATTATCAGAAATGAAGTAATCTCATATTATTCTGCCTTAGTCAGACTGCACCTAGAGTGTAGCATTGATTTAAAAGATGCTTTGTTCAGAGATACAGGTTCTAAGATGGTCAGAGGACCCCCACCTGAATAATGTACAAGACTTTTGAAGCAGACACTGGTGTGCTGGCTCAGGAATGTTCGTTGCCTGCAGATTCTGACTGACGGTTGGTAGGAAGCGAGAGGAAATGTTGCTCACTGTAGACTTGGGAGAAAATGAGGGGATTCTCCACCCCCACCCCCGCCAGTTCCAGTACAGCTAAGTAATCACTGGATATGGTGCAGGTGAATCCCTGTTAGGTGTTTCTTTTTCCTTTTCCTTTTTGTTCTTGGCTAGCCTATCTGTGATTGTTTATGGTGATTTTCATTGACCATTCAGTAAGGCAAGTGGGTATTGAGTATGGAAGCCAGAAAGACTCTCCTTATTTACAATTATTTTTTGGAACACAGGCATAAAATTTTATCAGGCCTGGACTGGGCCTCAGTAGGAACTGAAATGACATGTATGGTTTGCCCAGAGCCTTGGTATTGCCGGGCTGCTCTTTGGAGAAGCACCGATAAGCTCTGAGAACCTTGAATGTCAGAGAAGTTCTTATTTCAGAAGCCATGGCAGCAAGTGTCTTTTGTGCGGACATGGGGTTGAGAGTACATAGAGGTGTTCTAGATCGGTTGGAGACGTTTAAATGAGATAATAAGATATGAAATGTCTGGAAAATATAGCATGCATGTTAGGTAGGTTTTATCTCCCACACTCTCTTCCCCACTTCCTGTCTCTCTCCCACTCACACACACGCTTGTTCTTCAGGCAGCTTTTTGTGGACCTGTTGTCAGCGTGATCGAAGGCTTGGACTTCCAGCATCTGAGCTTTAGGTCAGGGCGGTGCGTTCATCTGGTTTCTGTAAGAACAGGTGTCATATGTGGAATAGGATGTCGGTAGTGAGTCCACCTCAGGAAAGAACTGACCGCACCGTGTGCTGGGACTGTCGCTGCCTGTGTTAGTTTTCAGACTGTCCTTCCCTTTAGAAGCTGGTGTTTTCTCCTGGCTTCCAGGGCGTGCTGCAGGAGGGTCAAGTCCTCCTCCTTCCTGACTGCAAAAGACAGTGATGCTTTGTTTCCAAGCACATATCCGACTTGTGTGTGTGGACAGCACTAAGACTGAGTCTTTTCTGCAGTTAGGATGGGTGCACTACTGGTCTTCTGAAAGCCTGGTGTCCTCTCAGGTTAGAGTCTTCAAGCACAAGTGAAGGAAGTGCTCTCTGCCTGTGAGAAGAGGTGTTGGGCAGCAGCCGTGGGTTCTCTCTGCAGATTTTAGGCATTCAGAACTTCGCGCTGTGTGGACCATGGGCTCTCCGCCCCCACCCACCTGCCCTAAATTGACTTCGAGCTTTCACATGGTCAGCTTGGTTTGATGCCGATTTGATAGAAGCAAAGACCTAGGCCTTGGGTGGACAGATTTTCACTGCTGCCTGTTGTGCTTTTTAAGGAAATTTTGCCTCACTTTATAATTACGTATATCAAGCTCCGAGCCTCTTTCTGGGTGTGGCTTCAGGGTTGACCAGCTTCCTTCAGTTGGGAGAAGTATGTCCCCATCACAGGACAGTTTATGATGATAAATATGTCACTTCCTGCTCTGCTTGGGTCCTGTGCATTTTACCATCGTGTGTCCTTCTGGTAGTTGTGTCTGACAGAAGACTGGAGACACGCTTGGGCATTTTTTGTGGGGTATGTAACTTTGTATATGTCTCAACTGAGCCTGACATGTCATAGACATTGAGCTCATTTCAGACACTCGTGGTTGGATCTGGAATTAAACAGATCTGTTTCTTTCAGCTGCTTCATCCGTTCCAGCTCCAAAGACAACAGACCCTCCTTCCGCCCTCCCATCTGTGGGCTCCCTGCCCAGCACCACCTCCTGCAATACGCTTCTACCCTCTGCACCTCAGCACACTGCCACTTTGCCCTCCTTGTCCCAGCCTGGTGACCTGTCCAGCAGCCCCCTCTCCCAGCTTAGCAGGTATGAGGAAAATATGGGCCCAGAGTGAGAGGCACACTGGGGTGAAGTCCTGGAGCCCTCACAGAAGGCTCTTTCCGTGAGCTAAACCTACTTGTCGCCCCTAGCACGGCATGCTGGCCTTTGCAATCATGCCGTACAGTAGGTTTGGGCTGGGGGGAGTCACCAAAGCACTGGAGATGAAAACTGCCTGCTTATAGCCCCTCTGCTATCACAGAGCACTCGGCCCCTTGGGAATATAGGGTGGAGCCAGGGGGTTGCTGCTGCTCTTTTTCGACCCCCAGGAGGGTGCCACTAGCTGAGCCTCTCCTCCCAGCTCTGGGCTCCTGTCCCTGATGCAGACTGAGAGTGCCCTTGGATTTCCGAGCAGGTCTGCGACTCGCACTTGTCATGGCTTCACAGATCAGGTGGCTACAACAGGGTGTAGGAGAATGGATTTCACCTGGCTCTCACCTTGTGTCTCCCCCACCCTACCCAATCAATATTTTATTGATTTATTTTTGAAGAGAGAGGAAGAGGGGAGAAAGGGAGAGAAACATCGATATTAGAGATAGAAACATCAATCTGTTGCTTCTGGCACGCCTGCAGCTGGGGACCTGCGTGCAACCCAGGCATGTGCCCTTTCCGGGAATCAAACTGATGACCTTTTACTTTGCAGGATGAGGCTCAACCAACTGAGCCACACCAGTCAGGGCATCACCCTGTGTCTTCTAAGGAGAGTTCACCTCTTTCTCGCTTTAAGCCAGGAGCAAAAGCATTTGAATTGAATTCTGGATTTGATGGCACTTCTGGCTCTGAATCTGGCATGTGCGATAGAACGTAGGAACTTCCTTCCGACACACAGCTGTAATGGGGTCTCTGCTCCTGAGTGCTCTTAGTGCAGTCCTGTTCTTTTTCCAGTATAAAGAACAGGTGGTTACGGCTGACTGAAGCTGGCCTGGGGGTTTCCCAAGACAGGATGTTCCAGAGCCTTGTGGCGGGTGATCCTTTAGATCATTCTAACCACCAGATGCCCTGGACTGGGTTTCCAGGGGATGGGTGTGAAGCTGAAACTTCCGCTGAAGGGATGGGGCCAGCTTATATCCTGCTCACCCAGACACGGGGGGCTCCATTCCTGTGGGGTGACTCGGGTGGACGTGTGTGGTGCCCTGTTTTGTCTTCTAGTTCACTCCCCAGCCATCAGAGCAGCCTCTCCTCTGCACACGCAGCACTCTCCTCAAGCACGTCCCACACAGTAAGTATCCTCTCGGCTCCCCTCCACCGCCCTGCTCAGCGAGCTTGGAGCTTAGTCACCTGCATATGGGCCTTCAGTTTGTGGATTTTAAATGTCTGAGATATTCTGGAGTTGTTTGGCTATGATGTCTCAACCTAAGTATGTGTTTGAAGCACCATGGAAGACATTTGCTTTCAAAGTTCATGCCTCTGTGGAGGAGTTACTTCCCCAGACCTGACATGTGATGGGTGGTGAATTTATTCCCAAGAATTCACTGAACTTTCTGTTCATTATAGGAGACCTTTCTGCCTAGCGGGGGTGACTTATTTTCTGGGAAATGTTATGTTGAGCTATTTGCAAGCTTTTAGAAGAAAGTGGGTTTATTGCTAACTTCAGTTTGGGCTCCACTAAAAGTCATCTTCAGTCAAGGCCATTTTTCCTGGCTAACCCTCTGTTGGTTTGTGCAGCTCAATGTCAAAATATCACCGTGTGCACATGCGTAGCTCTCTGAGACTGACGGCCTGGTTCTTACCCTTGTCAGCGTAGCTATGTTCCAGTTTGTGGTCATGTCCTAGTTGTGGCAGTAGGTGTTCTGTTCACTGTTCGCTTTGGCCATCTCAGGCCATTTCCCCCAAGTCAAAGGCAGAGGCTTGAGGAAGGGTGATAGTGAGGAACAAACAAAGTAGGAATGTGGAGAGGCGAGAATGGAAGCACAGGTGGGTGCCCACTGGAAGTCCTGATGTGCCATAGAGTGGCCCTAGAGGGAGGTTGTTGAAGTGTGGCTTCTCAGAAGCCAGTCCTGAGAGCGTGGTTTCGGTGGTGGGAGTCCGTCTGGATTGTGCTGGGTCGGAGCAGGACTGGTTGTGAGATGGAGATGCGGCCGGGTAGTGGGATGATACTTAACTAAATGCTAGGAGACTTGAGCATAAAGACTGGTGGGAAAAAAGGTGCCTGAAAAAAAGAACAAAATGTCTCTCTCCTGGTTTGGAGTGGAAGGGTCCCCAAACAGGGAGGTGTTACTGAGTGTTTCTGTTTTTCCATTGTGTTAATAGAAAAATGACCTGGCAGTATAATGTTTAACTGAATGAGGTTGACCTCCCCCCCCATATCGGAAAGCCATTATTTTTCCTTTTTGTGAGCAATTTATGTTGTTCATTTATTTGTCAGGTCCGTGGTGTCTGTTTCTAGGCACTCTGCATTAGGGGGTCTGGTGAGTAGTCCTCAAATGTAGAGGCCTCGAATGTAGAGCACACCTATTTTCCCTACACTTGTCGTTTTATAAATATTTTTGATTTTTATATAGTCAGATACGTCAGTCCCTCTTTCCTAGTCACATTGTGTAAGTCAGGTCTTCCCCACCTGAAGGTTACGAGGGCAGTCTTGTTTCCTCCTGATCTGCGTGTCCTTGTGGGCGGTTTGGTGCGGCTCTGCCCTCGGGGCCCCTCCCGAGGACGGGACGCACTGAGCCAGCCCTTTAAATGCGAGGGAGGCCTGTTAACTGCGGCAACGTGTTGCCCTCGCAGGTCTGGGGTGTGGGGCGCAGGTCTGGGGTGTGGGGCGTGGGGCGCAGAGAGAAAAGCCCTGTCAGGGCCAGCTTGACGTAGGAGAGGTTTGCTGGATACCGCTTGCATTCCTTTCAGCAAACCAGGAACTGGTTCTCTAGGAAGCTGCTCTTGGCAGGAAGCCTGGACCCACGCAGATGACCATGGAGCCCTCTGGCCTGGTTTTCCCTGCTCCGTGGGGCCCTCTGGCACAGCCTTTGCCCTGCTCCTTGGGTTCTTCTCACCCTGGTTCTGTCTATCTAGGCTGAAGGAGAGGAGTCCTGGGGAGTCCCAGGAGACCATGAGTTTCCCTGTCTTTATCTTACAGAACCAATTCTGGATGCTAGGGCCCTTAGGCCACCGGGTTGGGCAGCCTTTGAAGCAAGACCTGCAGAGCGATCTGTGCGATGGGAAGCAGAGCACGCGGGGGTCCCATTCCTCCTGAGGCTTCCTGTTCTCTGGCTTCTCCTTCAGGAGTTTCTGGGATTCTTTGTTCTGCACACATTCTGGTTTGGAGGCTGGTCTCAGTTTTCTAGAACCTTTCCCTCCCTCTTTGGGCCTTGCTTTGCCCCACCGGGTGCATCTCTGCCACATTATTACCAGCCAAAGCCGAGCAGCTAGGCAGGATTCCTGGAACACAGACTGTGCAGAGCTTTCTTCTGGTTTCAGCCTTCCTTTCTGGGTGGATCATACTGAGTAGGCATTGGGGCAGGCCGTGCCCTTCCAGGTAGGCCCTGGTGGCCTGCAAAGTGGCATCAGGTTCTGGAGCAAAGGCCTCTCAGCCACCTGTGACTTCCAGATCAGAGTAGCCTGACGGAAGGACACCCCCAGAAGGCTCTGACTGGGGCTGGGCTGCCTGTGGTCTCTCTTGCATCTCTTCTGAGACTACTTGCTTTCTGTGAGGTGGGTTCTCGCTTCATACTCAGACGGTCTGTGTTCATTTACGATTTACTTGGGGTTTCAATTCCCTGTGCATGTACCAGAGCACGAGCAACTATAAGAATTTTTAGTACGGTTTTGATTACAAAGCTCAGCTTTAGTAGTCCTGATACTTAAAAGTTGTGTTCCGATGGCCTCACCTAACTGCCGTGTGAGGAGCTACGGAGGCTGGTGTGCGGTCATACAAGCCGTGGGCACAGAGCTCCTCAGGTCAGAATGTCAACACTGCAGGCCCAGATGCCAGGCCAGGTTCTCCAGCCTCTCATGCTTTCCCCCGGATCCATGTGTCCTGGCTTTTTTGTTTCGCCAGCACGCCAGTGTGGAGAGCACGCCTCCCCTCCAGTCCTCAGCCACCTTCTCAACAGCAGCGACCTCCACCTCGAGTGCCGCGTCCTCAGGGCTCAGCAGCGTGAACCCGGGGAATAGCCTCTGCCTGGGCGGGGCCACCTCGAGCACCCCCAGCGGTTCCAGAGCCACGCCCTTGGTGACCTCAGGTGTGTGCCCCAGAGGCCTTTCCCACCTCCCCCCAGCCCCTCAAAGGTGCACACTTGGCTTCCCAGGGAGGATGCCCAGAGGTTGTCGGGATGCCATGCACCTCAGAGGATCATAGTCTTCCTCCGGCCTGCCGTGGTCACTTGTCCTCTTTGTTCCACTGACCTCCCGAGGCCCAGTCCTTCCACCTGTGGTGTGGGTGGGGATGGGTGAAATGGGTCTTTCTGGGTGGGCTCCCCTGGGCAGGATTCCTGGCAGCCTTTGTGCCTCTAGCTAGCTCCCCAGTCTTCTCTGTTCTCGCTCATCCCTGGAGTTGCAATGACATGGTGACACAGAGGGCCCAGGGAGCAGATATCATTGGCTCCTGGTCTTTTATGTAACTGATTGCCTGTCAGCCACACCGGGGCAGTCTGTGTGAGCCAAGCAAACTGTAGTTGGGTAGAAACTGCTAAAACCCACCTTTGATATGCCTTGTCCCTCTCCTGGCAGTGCCCGCCCAGCATTCCTCCTGTTCTGAGGAGGGGTCGGGTTCTTTATGTTGAGGTTTGTCCAGGGCAGTGTGACCTTCAGGAGTGGCAGGGTGGGGGCAGTGTTTCCGTCCCAGCGTGGGAACAGCCCAGAGGCAGGACAGGCACGGCCCTCTGTATCTCTCCGCTGCCAGCTTCTTGGCTGTGGCCTCAGTTAGGGCAGGACTATGACATGAGCTCAACACTCCCAGCCCCATAGTAGCTGAGGAATCTTACTGTTTGTGGCAGCCACTTTACTTTTCTTGACTTTTCTTAGGCAAAGCGCCCCCCAACCTGCCCCAGGGGTTGCCTCCCCTGCTGCACAACCAGTACCTCGTGGGCCCTGGAGGACTGCTTCCTGCCTACCCGGTGAGTGCACGGGGGAGCTCCCGGCCAGCCTCAACTTCCCTTGCTCTCGGGGGCTGGCACTTGGCAGAACCTGGTAAAGGAGGCCGTGGGTTGCCGCCACTCCTTCCCGGAGCCCTTCCATGTCTGCCAGTTGTACCCCTAGTATTTCTACCCCATCCAGGCTCCGTCAAGGTAGGGTGTCTTTTTGGAGCAGCTCATCCAGGTTCCCCTCCTGAGTGTGTCCTATCCTCCCATCCTGTTTAATCCCCACATTGGTCTGGGCGTCCCAGGGGTAATACATGGTCCCTAACACCCTTTTTGGTCCTCACACAGATCTATGGCTATGACGAGCTCCAGATGCTGCAGTCGAGGCTGCCAGTGGTGAGTGGGGTATGGCCGTGGGGGTGGGGGGATCAAGGCTCTTTCACAGGTCCTTCCTCCCTTTGCCTGGATTGCCGCCCTGCCTGGCCCTCCGGACACTCCGCCTCAGGCTGAGGGAGCTGCTTCCTTTTGTCAGTTGTGCCTGCACGTCTGTAGCTGGGGCATATATATGAGTGTCCTGTGCTCATCCCTGGGGAACATGAAGACCCCTGGGACCTGGGGCCCCAGTAGACAGCCCCTGTACTAACTGTGGGTCGTTCTCTTCTCTCATCTTCCCCTTAAAAGAAAAAGGAGAAGAAGATCTGTATGACACAGACTGGTGGTGTTTGCCTGCCCCTGGGGTTGTTAGTTTTCTTCACAGTGCCACTCAGTGTCTTCAGCTTCTGAAGTGGGCACTGGTAAAGCTTGTGATGGCACCTTCTCTTCTGTCCCCAGCTGAGTGAGTGGCTAGAGCTGACCGTCTTTAAGGGCTCTTCTGGGTCTGGCCTGCCATCACTGTTTGCAAGAGTGCTAGCCCCAGCGTCTCCCTGGTTGCTGCAGCCACATTCTGAGGCCAGGGCTGCCTCTGTGCTCTGACCCTTGCTACAAGGGTGAGGCACTGGGCCCTGCCTGGGACGACCAGGTGAACAAGTGCAGCGGAGGAGAGCATGCTCCCTGCTCTGACAGCCTGCAGGCTCCTGCATCACCGCCCCTCTCCAGCTCTGGTTTCCCAAACACCTGATAATTTTCAGCAGCCCAGGGCCTCTCTCTGTCACATTGTTGGGAAGAAAAAGCTGTTTGGATACTAGTGTCCTCTCTGGTGGATGTGGTCTTCTCTGTTACCCAGGGAAGCTGTTTTTTCCCCAGTGAGGTGTTTGTCCTCAGACTCCTCCTCATTGGTGATGCTCTCCACTCCCCACCCCCACCCATCCCCACTAGCCACAGAGAGCTCAGGGAGCTGCAGGTATTACCTTCATCTCCTGTTCCCAGTGGCTGAAGCGCTTGGCTCACAGTAGAACATCCTCCATCTGCTGAAGTATATCTAAAAGGCAGGGACTGGTAGCTGGGTCCCATGCACAAACCAGCAGCCCATTACACTGCTGCCCAGGGGCCTGCTGGACTCTAGCCGTTGCCCACACCCCCAGTGAAAGGATGTTGAAAGCACGAGGAGATGTCTGTGGGGAAGCTGGAAGTGACCCTGGACTCCCTGCTCACAACCATCTGGCCCAGGAGCCCCAGGGCATTAGGGATGGGATGCAAAAGGTGGCCCCGAGTGCCCCTGCATGTGGGTCCTAGTCAGACCCCCAAGTAGTGGCTCATTGGAATCCCAGCCCTAGGAGTCATCTGCCTTGTATTTCTTTTATTGTTTTGTGCCTTAGAAGAAATCACTGCTGAGTCTACCTTTTGAGATACAGTGCTTTCACTTTCCCCTTCGTCATTCCTTGGCCTGTGGCACCCTTTTGTTCCCCCCTTTGGGTTTTCTTTTCTTCTGTGAAAGAGCTCCCCATCCCAGGCATTCTCCAGGCCTGTTCCCAGTTGTGTTCCGACCAGCTCTGTGTTTTCCTAGCCCTGCCTCCTCCTGGGGTCCTGGGCTGAGGATGCTGCAAGTTTTCTGGAAAACGAGACTGAAGAGGAGTGTAGGTGCCATTCTTAGCCAAGATGGTTCTGACCAGGCACTGTTGCCCACTACGAAAGCAGAGGGGCCTTCCCTTGGCTCAGGCTAGGGTGCCGGATGTTTGGGGCTGCAAAGTCCTGGGTGGTAAGGGTCAGGGTGGGCCTCCCCTTTTCCACAGAGCTCCGCTGTGTTTTGCCCTCTTGGTGCCCATACCTCCCCTGGCTCCTGTGGGGTGTCAGTGTTGCCAGGGCAGAGTGGGTGATGAGAGACCAGTTCAGCACCTTAACCTGGGATCCTGCTTGTACTTGTGCCTACCGGGCATTGCTGCCCTGACCCGTTAAACCCTTTAGGCACCTCATCTCCTGCTGACTGCTTTCTGGTTTCTACTGTCGATTTTCATAGCTGCTTTTTAGAATCTCTCACGTAGGAAATGCCAGCCGAGTTGGTTCTGCCACTGGCACTCACCAGCATCCATCTGCAGCATCAAATGGGTGTTCGATTGGACCTCCCGTGGCTCTGCCCGTGGGAGGCTGACAGTTGGTCAGGGTGTCTGCATGCTGTGTGCTTGTGGCTGCCACCTTGTACCACTCCAACGAGCACCATTTACTTTGTGAATGTGCACATGACATCCCTGGGGCCTAGCTTTTCCCAGGAGTGCGGCATCACATGTACCTATGCTGCCTGCCGGGCCCGCTGTCCAGGAAGTGGGACGAGGCTGTTCTGCTTATGGAGCCTCCCTGGTCTCTCCTAGGATTACTACGGAATTCCCTTTGCTACGCCCACAGCCCTTGCCAGCCGAGATGGGAGCCTCACTAATAACCCATATTCAGGTTAGTCTTCGTTCAGGAAACGGGGGTGGGGTTGTGCATCAGACTGGCCTGTAGCTAATCCCAGGCGTCTAGAAGCAGAAAGGCTAAGAGAGGCCTGCTAGCTCCCCAGTGTTGCACCTGCAGCCAGACCTATTCTGGTTTGCAGGAAGTAACCTGGCTTTTTTTCCTGGTTGGATAAGGAAGTGACTGGAATCAGTGTTCCTCTTTTCCTAGGTGATGTCACAAAGTTTGGCCGAGGTGACTCTGCATCCCCTGCGCCCCCTACCACACTGGCTCAGGCACAGCAGAGCCAATCCCAGGCCCACCACACCCCCCAACAGCCCTTTCTGAATCCTGCACTGCCACATGGCTACAGCTACACTGGCCTCCCCTACTATACAGGCGTGCCCAGTGCCTTCCAGTATGGGCCCACCATGTTTGTGAGTATCTGTGAGAGCTGTAATTTCAGCTGTGGGGAGAAGCAGAGAGACGGGAGCATGACCCCACTGGGAGTTTCACCTGGCCTTCAGGAATGTTTGGGATGGGGGTGAAGGTTGCTTCTCTATGTATTTTTATATCCAGCATGTGTTGAATCACTCATAAACACTGGCCCCTTGAGATTGTGCCACCTGCTGCCTTACACTAAGCCAGGGGTACCTGATCTGCTCCTCTTAAGCCTCTCCTGCTTGCCCCACCAGGTCCCTCCAGCCTCAGCCAAGCAGCATGGTATGAACCTCAGCACCCCCACCACCCCTTTCCAGCAGGCCGGTGGTTATGGCCAGCACAGCTACAGCACAGGTAAGGGGTGCTCTCTGCACGGAGACGTGGGTAGGACAGGCTTGCCTAGCTCACACATGCCTCTTGTACCCTGCTATGCTAGGTTATGATGACCTGACCCAGGGGACAGCAGCGGGAGACTACACCAAGGGTGGCTATGGTGGATCATCACAGGCACAAAACAAGTCTGCAGGTTCTGGGCCTGGCAAAGGTAGCGTCTGCCCCTCCTTTCCAGGATTGAGGCCCAGAGTAGTTATCTCCTCCCTGGCTCCTTCTCAGGCAAGGCTACCCCAGAGTGCCCCTGGAGGTGGGGTGGCTGGAGCTGGGACCAACTGCTGTGGGAACAACTGCTTTTTCTCCTAGGAGTGTCCGTGTCTTCAAGCACCACTGGCCTACCTGATATGACTGGTTCTGTCTACAAGACGACTCAGGTGAGGGAGGAACAGGTGGGTGTACTGGTTGGTGGGAGGTGTAACCCAGGCTGGTCCTCACCATTGTCTCTCTGCCCTACAGACTTTTGACAAGCAGGGATTTCATGCAGGGACCCCTCCACCATTCAGCCTGCCCTCAGCCTTGGGTTCCACTGGGCCTCTGGCCCCTGGAGCAGCTCCTGGTTATGCACCCCCACCATTCTTGCACATCCTGCCTGCCCACCAGCAGCCTCACTCACAGCTGTTACACCACCACCTTCCCCAGGATGCCCAGGTGAGCTCAGTGATGGCAGCAGCCACCCTGCCCTGGGTTCGGGGTTCTGCTCCAGCCTTGACAGCCTTCTCTCCTCCTCAGAGTGGCTCGGGTCAGCGCAGCCAGCCCAGCTCCCTGCAGCCCAAGTCGCAAGCCTCCAAGCCTGCCTACGGCAGCTCTCCATACTGGACAAACTGAACCCTGAAGAGTGGGTGGGCTGGGGGAGGGCTTGCCCTGGGCGGGAGAGAACACATGGAGCCCATTTCTGGGAGCCCAGCACCCTTTCCTAGAATTCCTGAGACGTGTAACTGTGTCAGCCGAGCCTCTGTGGGGAGCCTCCCTCCCAGACTCGCTTGTATGTAATGTATTTATGTATGTATTTGTAAATGTGACAGAAACCTTGGGGGAGTGGGAGGGTTGCAGGTGCTGCTCCCCACTGAAGCCCCTTTTCACTGTAGCAAAATAAGCCCCCTCCCCCCTTCTGCCTTCAAGCCTTCCACATAGCCCCTCTGCCAGGAGGCTGCTAGGGGCGGTGTCTGGAGGGGCTGGATTAAGGTGGTTGGGTAATGGGGTCAGGTACCAATGAAGAATCACGACTTAACTCGTGCCCTTGTAAACCATTATTTGAGTTTTTTCCCCCGTGTAATTATTTTATCCCTCTTACGGAGAAACTGGTCCTTTTGTCATCCGTCACGTTTCCCTCCTGCCAAATCTTGATCTGGGAACAGCAGGCACATCCCCCTGCTCAACATCGAAGTGGCACACAGAGCAGGGGCATCTGCTTCTGGTCTAGTCTTGTCCCCAAAGACTTGCCTTCCTCTGGCTGACCATTTTATAATAATAATCTGATTTTGTGCTCAGAGATGTTCAGCCAGTCAGCTCCCCTTTTAAAAAAATCAAAGATATGCTCCATGAGAGCACGTCTCCATGCAAAGGCTCCTCTAATTCCAGTTGTCCTGAACCAGGTGGACAACTGCTTCAGGGGTTTTCTCTTTTGCCCAAAGTCCACCTAATAAAGTTCTGAGAGCATGCACAGTCTCTGTGTGGTGTGACTAAAGGACAGCCCAGGGTCAAGGCTGTGTTCATTATGGTTCCGGGGACTCTTGGACTCCACAGGGCTGAAGAAGAGCTCACGCGGTCACAGTCTTCCTGACAACAGGTTGTGAAGACTTAAATTGGTATTCCTTTCTTTGCTCGGCCCTTCTCTTGCCTTGGCCCCAGTCAGCATCCAGGGAGTGGAGGGTAACTGATACAGCTGGAAGGACAGCAAAAGCTCATGACAGGGCACGGGGAGTGTTTATCGAAGTTAACTTTGCAGACTCCATCAACAAGAATGCCAGGGCAGGGTAATTTCTTTCCCAAAGACCAAAAGTAATAATTACTGACATGGTTCTAGGCCTGTGAGAGAGTAAGTTTAAACAGCTAAACCTTTGTTTTCATCAACCATTCAGTGTTGTTTGACAGTAAAGTCTGTGGTGGAACAGGTGACTAAGGAGCCAGGGGGGTATGAAGTAGGTAAGTGGATCCTGGGCTAAGTATCTGCTCCAGATAATCACATGAAACCATTCACCTAGGACCAGGATTCTGACCACCACCCCCCCCTCCCCGGCAAGAGGGAGGCCCCCAACTAGTTCAGTCCTCCCTCTTGCTTCCAAGCCACCAGGCAGAGAAGAGCCAGGGCCATAAACTATTCCTGTGAGTCCAGCAGGAGGTGGCTTTCACCAGTTGTCTGAGGCACAACTGTGCTACAGTCTGGCTAGCAACTCAGGCTTACAGGTGCTGACTAGGCTAAATAAGCAAATAAAATGAGTATTGCTTCAAGTCAAGTATTGGTCAAATCAATACGCCAAAAGCCAGCCCAGGGCCACTCTTTACCTTTTCTGCCTTCGCCTCTAAAATCAATGGTCATTTCATCATACTGGACACGTGCTATTGTTAATCCACAGCTTGGGATCCTGGCTTTTAAAAATAACAGGTAAGTGTCCACAACTGAAACTAAATGGGAACTTTTATTAAACTGTGATCTCCTGTTTAATCCTTGCTGTTATCAGCAGGAAGTTTGCAAGGCAAGTGACAGTGAAAACAAATGCCCTTCTAAGGAGGGCAGTGGAGCACCTCTCCATCCCTTCCACTGACCTACTTGTGCTGGCAGATTGTGCCCTATTTCAGAATTACGGTTAACAAATGGCTGTGTCTTTAATAACCTTTCTTAAAGCTAGGTAAGGATTGGGAATATTCTGCAAGGTGAGCTGAACCGAATGTCATAAAAGGCAGGTCAGCCAGAGTTGGTTTTTGTTTAATTTATCAGCTGAGTCCTGGTCATAATCTGCAAGGGAACAGCAGAAATACTGAGACCACCTTTAATTTTAACAAAAGGAAAAAAAAGAGGGTCATCCCATGGGGAAGTAGCAATACAGGTATATTTTATTTCACATTTTATTAGTAGACAGATGGGCAGAGAAAGACAAAATGAACCACTAAAGGGGAAGTTCAACACAAAATGCATCAGATATTCTTTTCTCATAAGTTAAACTGAAGAAAAACACCTACAAGTTCAGCTAAGAAAACTATTAAAGTCAGGTGTGACCTGCTGGTTTCAGAAGAGTTGAAAATTGCATCTGAATCTTTTTGTAAATGTAAACTTTTCTTAAAATCAGGATGGGAGGGAGATGGAGAGATAATTTTCAGTAGAGAAACTACACATTTCCCCCTTCAATCTCTTATTATAAGTGTCCCCAAAATAAGGAAGTAGCAAATAAACAGGCAAATAATTACCAGGGAAGAGGAAAGAAGATACTATCAGGAAATGAAAGGGAGAGAAAAAAAAGCCGACAAAACCCCACACACCTGTCTGGCTTAGCAAAGAACTCCGGAATGATGTGAAATAGAAAGGGGAAGACTCTGAGAAGCAACAATGGAATCATGATACTGTATTTTCTCCACTCAACCTCAAAAAACACAGACCTGATGAGCACCCAGAGAGGCCTCCACTAGAATCAAAAGAAATCTAAAAATGCAGGTTGAGCTTGTTATACCAAATGAGTACAAGTTTCTAGCCTGAGACCTCAACTCCTAGAAAGAAAGTTACAAGCTCAAGTTTTCTTTTGCCACAGGATGTGTGCCCAAGACAGCACTCTGGACCCAGCATCTGGGTTTTACAAGTCAGTGTGAGCTATTAGAAAGAATGTCTACCTGCTAGCAAATCAACATACCCCAGTCTTTTCTGATTGTACTCGTATCAGAGACAAACCCAGCCCTAAACAGTGACACCCCAAAGGGCTGAGGTACAACCTCCACCTGGCTCTCTGGCTCCCTGAGTCAACATGCAACAGGCCAACAGGGCCTAATGGGACAGGGCTGAGCAGCATAGCACCTCCCATAAACGTCAAGATGCCTGGCCTGCCCTGGGAAAGAAATCCTTTAGCAGTAGAGGACAAGCTTAATTTTAGGGCTCTGATAGAGGAAGATCAAGCTACCAGCTGTAAACGTGTGTGTGTGTGGTGGGTAGGGGGTAGGGGATAATCAGCATTATGAGGGACTGGCTCCAGGAGGTTTGCTGGTTGTTTGGAAGCGTTACTTAAGAAGCGTGGGAAGTCTCCTAAGAAGGATGATCCTTCTTAGCGAAGTCTGCAGTCTATTTTACCATAGAGAATTGCTGTTTTCTGAATCTGACGAGTCACTAAATTCAAGGGTGCAAGTAGCCCTGGCCTTATGGGGATCAGGCTCAATACTGCTCCATTTGAACCTAAGCATGTTAAATGTTCTCAATATTAGACCAAACTTCAGAGGCCAGGGAGTTGCTGGGAATTAGCCAACGTTTGAAGAGTTTGAAAAGCTAATGAAAACCCTGAGATCAGAAAGGAAGGAGGAGCTAAGGAAGTAAGCATCACCTACTCTGTCCTAGGATCCATCCTACCCCGTCCCTCATCAACCCTTTTGTTCTTTCTGAACTAAAGATCTGAAGAAAAGGAGTTGACACTAGTGCACAGGGATCTGCAGTAGGATTATAGTCAGTCTTTGCTGTCTTTTCCTTCCAAAACCTGTGATTTTACATTGTAACGATTTTCCCCACTGAAAGAACACCGCTCTTGTAATGAACTGGTGAACTGGCCAACTCCCATAAGAAACAAAAATCACCGTCAAGTTCTGAAGTCCCTGGTTGGTGAAGGCTGATGGATCTCAGAATTGATTGACAAACACATGATTGAGACCGGGAAAATCAAAGCTGCAGCAATTGCATGGCAGGAAGCTCTAACATCACCCAGACACTGCCCACTGCCAACTCCCTTGGCCCTGCCAGAAATTTCAAAACAAGCCCAGGGCAAGCTCCATGCACAACTTCTGCTTGCGCTCCACAGCCAGAGTATATTGAAAGGCGAGCAAAGTCCAGATCACATCCAATGAGGAAAGGTAACCGGTCACGCATGTCTCACATATATCCACAGTTATCACTAGCTCAATGGAAACCAAAATCTTAACACATGCACCTAGTATTAATACTGAGTCATTAAAACTGGTTACTTAAAGAAATCCTCATGGTGAGAGTGCATCTTTGAGGGAAAGGCCCTTTTAAATATATAAAACATGTTTTTCTCTCCCAACAGTGGTTACCAGTAGTTTTTACTCCCCCTCCCTCCAGCAGCATCAACCAAAATTGGCATAGTGATTTTTAACTCTTTGTTGCCATCACTAAAACTACACACACACACACACACACAAATCCCCACTCTTTCCCCACTCCTTGGGGGTGGGGGAGGAACTCTGCCTTTTAAATAAATATCAATCAAGTGCTCAGTTCTATGCAAAGTATGAATATTTATTTCAAGCTTTAGATCCCAATCGATTTCAAAAACCAAAATCTGATTTCTATCCTCAGAGTAGCTGAGGCCTCTGTGTTAGGATGATTTCCTGGAAGCTGAAGGAGCTCTGTGCCCTTAGGAACACATTTCATCAGTCTTCACACAGAGTCCCTGATGCCCACCATACCCCAGACTTTAAAACAAGAAAGAAATAAAATTCACCACCATGGGGCTGAACAAATGCACACACACTAATGTAAATGGAGCAGCTAAACCTTGGCAATTTTTTCTAAAGTTTGTTTTGTGGGAGTTTTACAGGGATTTTTTTTCCATTTTCTTTTGCTACCCAGCATATGCAGCACTTGTGAACTCCCAATGGGTTCCCAGCTTTAATCACATTAAACATCTTGATGAAAGACTATTTAATTCTTCAAGAATCTAAAAACAGACCAAACATGTTTTGCTGTGAACACTTTGTGGAGACGAAAGTGAGGCAGGGGTTTGGGTTTGAAGGGGGGGAAAAAAAAAGAATCAATACAGTGATGGAAGGGTAAAGAATGCAAGAATTCAGACATTCTGTGGAGGATTACCTTCTCTCCATTAAGAGGTCCATAAAAAGGAGCAAACTGAGATCCGTAAGGGGAGTCAGCAGGAGCCTTGTTTGTTTTCCCCACCCCCTGTGATAGGTTTTTGCTGAGGGGCCACTGCTAGGTCCCCATTGCTCCCCTCCCTTTGGCCTGAGATGGCAGGGCAGTACAGGGGCTTCTCGAAGGAGCACGTCACGACTCCTCATTCCCAGAATCATCATCATCGTAACAGTCGGCATCTTCCTCCTCCTCATCTTCATCATCAATGTCGTCATCATACAAGTCATAAAGCAAATCTGAGCTGTTGTCATTGGAAGGCACTTTAGTTTTGATGCAGTATTCCGCCAGGGTGGTGGGGACTTTCACTCCATCCTTTTCTGCTTCGGCTTTAGTGGCTGAAACCTGTTTCCTGAAGGGAGGAGGATAGTTTATGTAAGTATGTCTTGAAGATGGATTTAAAATTAGCATTTCTAGATAATCAAGATTTCTTATGGCCCGATTTCTAAACTTTTATTACCTGCCTGAAAGCATGTGAGAGTCTCTACTACACCAAAGCTGATCTCAGACTGTCAGGTGTCAATCCTGAAAGACACTTACTACTGACCTTTTGAAAAAGTGGATCTCACTTTGATTTTTTTAAA